CTGTGCCAGCGCCTCGATACGCCCGAGAACATCCAGCGGCTTAAGGGCATCCCGTTCCTGCTGTTCGTCGGCCGCGACCAGGCTGTGCTGTCGCCCGAGTCGACGGAGCGCACGTACGAGATCTTGTGCGACACTTTTGGTACCAACGATACTAGCTACAAGAGGCGCGTGGTGCCTGGGTATGGACACTTGGATGTGTGGATGGGACGGAATGCGTGGAAGGACGTCTATCCGTTTGTGAGAGAGGAGGTGGATAGAGTGTGCAGAGGGGAGACGTACAAGTTTGTGGAGCCGAATGATGAGTTTAAGGAGATGGTTGATTCTGGAGAGTTGCTTTACTGAGAGCAATGATGGGAAGGATGACGACGATGACGGACTATGATGATGATTTTGGACATATGCGGTTCACTTTATCGATAACAGTTGGATATTTCATTCTGTTATATACCGGTATGGCGTCTGGAGCTTAGTTTGGAGTCTGCTTGCTTTTTTTCTTGGGGAAGACTAAGATGAGGTTATATAAGCTGAGGGTGAGGTCGATACCACGGTTAGAGTGCGTACATAGATACTGAGCAAGATACTCTGGCAGGCCCGGAGAGTACCATCCATATTTATATATATTGGGACAATCACATTTTTGTGTACTTGCGATCCGCGATGACAAAGTACTATTAAGCCTTCTCGCTTTACTATAACCACTCATGATTGATCTCCGATGGACCAGAAACATAATGACAATTTTCTCAGAACAAGATTTGCCCATCCTTTTCGCATATAGCTTATATAAGATATACCTCCAATTGCCGGTAATCCATGACAACCAAAACGCTTTGACATACCAATGTGATACCCTTACACTTGGTTTAAACAGCCTTTCTTATCCCATCCCTCGTAAACACACGCTGACCGCATAATCAGTCATCCTTCAGGAACCCACCGATACACCTACATATACTCCCCTTTACCACATAGCAGCCGCATCAAAATCAAACCTCTGCAACTCCTTATTCGCATCCTCCAGATCCTTCTTCGCCTTCATCCGCATGTAGAAAATCGGGCAATCCTTGCTACTGCAAATGACCTCGCAGTGCATCGACCCCTGACACCTCTGACACTGGGTCCACAGCCTGCCAAACCTAATCTCCAGATCCGACACCTTATCCAGCGTCTTCTTGTACAGCTCACCCACTCTCGGAGCATCATCCGTGCAGACGGCACCCTGGCTCTCCTCTTTACCCGTCAGCGGCTTCTTGCAGCCCATGCAGGTCTGCGTCTTCTTGGCGAACTTCATGAGTCCTCCGACAGTGGGGGCGGCGACCGAGACGACGCGGGTGTGGTCACCGTGCAGGAGTGACTTGGCCTTGGTCTCGCCCAGGATGGGCTCGAAGATGCGGCCCAAGGGTTTCGCCAGCTGGTTGTCCAGGTAGTACTTGGTGTCGATGGGCACGTTGTGCTCGAGCACGTAGATGGGGTCCTCGGAGCGCTCGAAATTCTTGGAGCCCGTCGCGCCTTTCACCATGACGTAGGCGACGCGATCGCCGAGCCCTGGGGCGGAACCGGCGTCGCGCTTCTTCATGCGCTGCGCGAGCTCGACGTGGGCTTGCTTGGCGTCGTAGTTCTCCTTGGTCAGGGCCTTGGTGATGACTAGCTTGGACATGTCGATCTTGTTTTGTAGGAGGTCGGCGATGGTGTCTTTGACATATCTGGCGAATATGTTAGCATGATATCGACCAGGGGAAAGGGGTAAAACTGGGAGATTCTTACGCTTGAGCTCCAGGGACGTCTTGGTCGATCAGGATCATTCTAAGAACCTTCTCGATGACAGTCTGGACTAGCAAACAGTTGTCACGACGAACCGTCTCGATACCCTTGGTGTCCATCTTATCGTACTTCTCAGGCTTGGTCCAGTACAGACCCGCATAACGCTTCTTGTTGATGAGAAGGTACGGGAAATAGACCTTTTCGAACTCCAACTTGATGGGCTTGATGAACTTGCTCGAGACATACTCCGAGGCATCTTGACCGAGCTTCATGGCCTCAGCAAGATCCTTGGTTCCGAACTTGACCATGACGGAATCGGTATCACCGTAGATAACCTGCGCATCGTGAGAGTAGCCATTGGCAATGGTATACCGCTCCTCCACCTCCTTCTTGGTCCTCTCAATCATTTGACGACCGAAACTGGTGACACTACTGGCGATTTCCAAGCAGGGAAGTTTGCCGTTCGTGGCTCCCGTCAAACCGTAGACGGAGTTGGCGCTGATCTTCAAGGCCAACTGACGACCGTTCAGCACAGCCTTCTTGAAGGGGTCCTTCTCTACGGCCAACTCGCGCTTTGCTTGTTTTCTGGCAGAGAGCAATTCCTCCAGAATTTGTGCTAAGAGAGCCTTCTTCTGCTTGGTCGTTGCAAACATATCTCCGTTGGGAGTAACGATATAGTCCTCGTCCTTCTTCAAGTTCCACCTCTCGATATCTCGCTTCTTGATGAGCGTTGTGTAGCAGAGGTTGTGCGCCTGCATGATACTGGGATACAGTGAAGCGAAATCGAGAGTGGCAATGGGCACATCGTAGTAGCCTCTTGTGGGCTCGATGACAGTAGCACCTTCGTACTGCTCTTCCGAGGACTCGGGACGCAGATTGGGAATGACCAGCTTCTGCTCCAAAGCCTTGCGGAATAGTTGACTCAGGAACTTGACTTGCTGACCTCTGGCCAAGAGGAAGTTGAACGGCACACCTGTGACTCTTGCCATTTCCGTGTAGTTTTCTAGACAGGATAGCTTGTCCATCAACCTTTGTGGTAGATAGGCATCCTTCAAGCAGTAAAGTGCAAGACGTCGCCTGGATTCTGGTGTGCCTTCGAACAACTCCGTGATCATGGAATGATGGACGTCTTCTTTCTGCTCCCCTAAGAAGTTTGAACAGACAGAGTTGAGGGTGTAACTTCTCAACTGATAATCACGTTGTACCAGTTGTAGCATGTCGAGCTGAAGACGTCCGTTGGTATTTGTAGCCTTGGTGTCACGGTTGCCCATTTGCTTGCTGGAGAAGTTTGTCTCCTTTGCCACAGATCTTACCCTGGTACGGGACCAAAAGTCGAAATCCTTGACTTTGAGGTGTTTGGCTCGGTCTAGAAGGTAGGGGAAATCGAAGTTGGCAATATTGTAACCGATGATGATATCCGGATCGACCTGTTCTAAGAAGTTGCGCCATTCGCGAAGCATGTCCTCTTCCCTGTCAAAAGACAGAATCTGGGTAGCGACAATCGGGCTAGTCGTGTCAAGACAGAACACATTCCGGACGAACGGCTTTTTCTCTCCGTACTTTGTGACAATGTTGGCGATCTGAATGACGGAGTCGTGTTGCGGTTCGGGAAAGATACCCTTGCGGCCAGCGCACTCGATATCGAAGGAGAGAATTCGGAGAGGTGCCATCTTGGACCATTCGCCGACGGGCTTGTGTGCTATGAGGTCACGGTAGCTCATCTCGGCTTCGATTTGACAGTTGGAGTGTTTATCGGTGACAAGCTGATAGCTGCCTGAGGGAGCCTCCACCCAAGACATACCAGCAATCTGGTGTTTGTTAGCTTGGGGAATCTTGGGGGTAGTGCAAGGGGGTGGCATACCGAGCAGTCGACCATGAACCGAAGCAAATACTGGATATCATCAAAGGTCATGATAGACCCATCGCTCTTCCACATGCCCTTCCAGTTGGCTTTGTTCGTTTCGATCAATCTTCGAACTCTGGGGAGAAACTTGGGGTCGTTGACGGTGACCTTGATATAAGGGTTTTGTGTGTTGCCTTGAAAGCCGTACATGTTCTCGCGCATCGTCAGGGTGACCGAGTGGATGGCCGGTGTGGGCATGGCGAGCTGGGTTTCGAGGAATACTCTGTATTTGGGGCAATCATCGGGACCAAACGATACAGGAGCTTGAACATAGAGGTAGTGTTTGAAGTCTTTGACATGGAGGAGAACCGAATTTCCATTCTCAGTAACACCAAACAGCTTAATGGTCGCTTGGCCGCCGTGGAGGAATCCCTCTTCAGCCTCAATGGACTGAAAACAGAGACTGTCTGTAGCTGGGTTGTAGGTCGCTGGTAGTGGCGGGCGGTCCCAAGCTTGATCCTTTTCCGAGTTGTTCTGCTTCAGCTCCGAGATATCCTGGCTCATGCGTTCAAGCACCTCGCTCTCGAAGGCGCTCTTGGGTTGGGTAGAGGGTATCCTGCCCTTGCCATCATTCTTGAAAGTTCGGAAGCGGGAAGAGGGAGGAACATTGTCAAGGCGTCTTTTCTTGGTTGAATCTGAGGAAGCGGCGGGGAGGTTGTGAATGTTGCTGAGGGCGCTTGATGCCTCGCCGAACGCGCGCTTCTGAGGCAACGCTGAGGGCGCCATTCTGGCTCTTTGAAAGTCGAGTGTCTGTGGTGGAGGTCGGCTTGGGTAAAATCCACAAGAACGGACGTCTTTCAGGATATTACGTTGTCGGCTTGTGTGAGAGTTAAGAACAAGAAAAGAGCAACAATTACAGCCAAAGAGAGTGTGTGTCTGGTTGGAGAGAGGGAAGGAGGATAGAAAGTTGCAAATGGGACGAAATGGGAATCGCGACTGACGCGACGAATGTCTTTGTTACGTGACAAGCACCCACTTTTACATCGTGCCGTTAATTACCTGTAACTGCACCTCTTTAACCCCTGCAGCTAGAGCAAGGTACCTCTACCTTTGTATTACCACCATTTGAAGCACTGTCTGCGAAATGACAAGGTCTTTTTATCTTCAACAAACCTAAGCATGAGTGTACCCGTATACTCAATCCAGCCAAAAATCCAACCCATCATCGAGCTTGCGAATGGCAACCTGAAACTGGATAACGGCACTGAAGCCGTTTTAATCGAAGCACGTGAGCTCGTGTCAGACCCTAACCCTGTCCTCCCTCCACTTCACGTTATCGCGGTGCAGCGACCGGGGTATGCCCCGCGTCTTCTCTCTTACCACTTACAATTTTATTACATCACTTCTTATTCTCCCTTCGAAAGTTGGTAGGCAACAGAGTCTGAAGAATCGCCCATTGGCCTAATAAACGAGCTGAAAGTCAATAATCTCAACAGTTTCACTCACTGAACTGCGAAAGCTGAAGTTATATCATTACATACGCTTCAACAAACAACATCCAAACAAATGGCCGACCGTCGTCCCGGCCCCAACTTCAAACCCGCTGCTCCCTCACGAACCGCGCCTCCTCCACACACCGGACTCTCTTCCGCCGGAGCAGGAGCAGGAGCAAGAGCCGGAGCATCAGTCCGCCGCAACCTCTTTCAACAGGGGCAACCACAATCACAAGCACAGTCAGCACAACCAACCCGACAACCCACTGCTGCTCCAGACTCTCAACAGTCTCAAGGACACTACTCTCAGTCCTCTCAGTCTCAGACTGCTCAACCTTCTCAAACCTACCAAAACAACTTTCAGTCTCATCCACAACACCCGCACGCGCATTATCAACACCAGCAAACTTACCTCACTCAACCCCAACCTTATTCCCAAACCTATCCCCATCCCTACTCCTACTCCTACCCTCAAGACTCCCTCCCCCATCTCCAACAATACCAACAACTACCACCCCACCAACCCGACGAAGAAGACACCAAAATGACCTCTTCCTCACAAGAGGACCATCATCAACCCGTAACAGACCCCGACCTTGAAATCGTCGTCCGCGACAAAGAAACAGGAGAAATCGACCTAGGCAACGACCCACCCACGCCCCCCTACGACGAGGAGACGGAAGCGATCATGGAGGCGCGGATGGAGCAGGAGAAAGAAAGGGAGAGGTTGGCGGATGCGGTGAGGGAGTGGTTGACTGAGCATGAGGCGGAAGGGAGGGGGGATTTTGGTGAATCAGAAGGTGGCGGTGGTGCTGCTGGGGGAGGAGGAGAGGGTGGGATGGATACTGAAGGTATGTTTTAAGCTTGAACGGCGCGCGTGGGTGACAGGATGATATGGGAGCAAGGTTGACTAACGACTGAATTACAGAACTCCTGGAGGCAGTCAAGGCGAGCTTAAAGACCAAGGTTGCGGCGTTATATGAGGATAATTGGATGTTTGAGAGGGAGGAGGTACTTCATCTGCATTGATTGAGGAGGGATGGTTGAATGACGAGCGGTGGTACGCATTTATTGACACGACTGGATTGCATTCATGGTATCGCGGCGGGTTGGTAGTTGGGTATGATTTCGTCTCCGAGTTCTTTCTTCCGGCGCTACACTTCTTCTTCCCTTGGCCTTCTTCCCTTTGGCTTGTTGTATTACCTTAGCATAAGCAGCGTATACCCCCCCTATGATTACTTCTTTCACCCTTAATAGGATCCCAGCAGACTCTGAACAGGACAGACAGAGCATAAAGCGAAGATAAATCATACATCTGTCCCTTCCTGTACTACACCCATCCCTCTTCACACCCCCCTAGTGCTCTCAATCCAGTCCTTCAGCAGTAGGCGCCGCCTCAACCCTCCTCACTGGCGGCCTGCCGCCCGCAGCACCCGCACCACCACCACCGCCGCCGCCGAACAAGCTACCCATCATATCGAGCAGTGGGTTAGACTGTCTTGGCCTCTGAATACCAAAGTACATCTCAGCAATCATCTCCAGGGCACCATCCCACGCTCCACCCAACTCGGCAAGGTTGCTCGCGTATTTCGTCTTCAACTGCCTAAACAGATCCGGAGTTCCCTTCTGCACCGCCAGCAGCAACAGCCCCAAGAAATTCAGCAGCGGCAGGCTCGGGAAGATGCGGATATCGCTGCCATGGGAACTCTCCACGTTCTGCACGCCAAGCGACGTGTTTTCGGCCGTGAGCGCCGACACAAAGGCGCGGTATGACGTGTTGGCCGCGCGGACGTTAGCCAGCAGCAGGTACGGCAGGATGGCGCGGGCGGCGAAGAGGGCGGCCGTGTGCGGTTGCTCGTTGTCCTTGTACCACTCATACTCCATGCGCGTTAGCACCTCGACCGACTCCTTGGTGCCTAGGAGCAAATGCTTCTCGGCCTCGTCCGTCTCGTGGTTCTCGGCGGCGAGGGTGCCGACGACGTGGTGCAGCTCCGGGTCGCCGGCGGGGTAGTCGCCGAACTTTCGTGACCAGCTGTTCACAATGAAACAATTAGTTCCCTCTCCCTTCTTTTTTTTCCAAATCCGTATTATACAGAGAGAAGCTTGCTTACTCAAACATCTCCTTAACAAACTTCTTCCTCGTTGGCTCCTCGAAGTCAAACAGCCTCAAGCACGTCAACAGCCGCCCGCGCGACGCCGCATCCGGCTTAATCTTCCCTTGCTTGTACACGTCCACCAGCAAGATGGCGAGATCGCCGCCGGCGCCGCCAGCTCCGGCCTTCAGCAGTGCCTGCGACACGCTGGACAGAATGTCGATGGCGGCCTGCCAGTTCTCCGCTTTTGTGTACCGCGCCGCAACCAGTCTCGTCTCCTGTCCGGCCTCGTACTGCTCTTCGAACTGGCCCTCGGCGGTGCGCTTCTGTAGTCGCGCAATGATCTTTTGGATCTTGGCGTCTTGTTTTGAGGCCATGGCTGCTGCGAGTGTGATGGCGCAAATGTGGTGTGTGATTTTGTGGTTCGGTTGGTGACGGGGGGGTTCGTGATGCTTCCCCTGATGTTGATAGTGGGTTGCTCTCGTGGATAACAGCTCGCGCAATGCTCAAGTTGTGTCGCCGGTTGCTTGTGATATAGAGTGTCGATAGACAGATGCCAGCGGAAACTTCAAGATATCGTCGCGATTATTCGGTGACTGGTAGTGTTGTACTGGTCGTCTTATTGAATTGTATGGTGAGTGTACAAGGAACTCGCGACGACCGAATCCGAGAGACGGAAAGCAGACAGCTCACAGCGTCGAAACCCCACTAACAAGCATCACAGCTCTTGCGTCTGCCCGCATGGAGGATGGAAGGGAAAGGATGATGTCGGAAGTGGGGCGCGGCTGCAAGGTGGGGTTATCACGCGGCAGGCAAGAGCTCTCAGCGGACAAGACGGGAGCTGCCAAAAAAAGTGAGCGCAATTGGAACCCCACATCCCCCTATTCCGACCCCTTTCCCTTTGTTTGTTGCGCTTTCCGAAGCTGCATAAGCTTGACAGCAGAGTCGAATATCGGGCAAAAAAAAGATACCCGTGGAAATAGGGTGGCTTTCTGACCCATTCCCACTCTCCTACAGAGAGTGGGTCACAAAATCGCCGGACACCTCAAAACCGCCGGACAGAATAGTTTTGTATGGTAATCCCTAAGAAAAGTGTTAGTGCAAAGACAAAAACGCCTATTAACACAACGGATATAAGGGCAAATTCTCTGTAGGAGAGTGGGGATGGGTGAAAAAGGCCACCCTATCTCCACGGGTAAAAAAAGGTTGCTCGAACCAGGTTTCGAACCTGGGACCTTTCGCGTGTGAGGCGAACGTGATAACCACTACACTATTCGAGCTCCGGTTGTTGTTGAAAAACTGGTTTAGTTGCTTAGATCATAAACGTAGTTGTTCATCTTAGTACCTACCGTTGCTCAACTACATCTTGTCGACGACACAAGAGCAGGCGACGTACATCCTTTGTGATATTGAGTTTTGTACAACAGCTGTGATTATCGCTCAGTGAGTCCCTATGCTTGAAGAGTTATTACGTACGTTACATCACGGACTGGCCACTACTTTTCACAAGGCAGCTACCCCCAAACAAGTTAGGTATCATGTCTTATTGCACTTATCACATCACTATCCCTCGCTTGCTTTTCTCCTCGATTCTTTTGCTCTTGATCGCTTTAACATACAAAGTACGCAAAACTATTCACTAGTTTTGTGATGGATGTATGTCACATAGAACTAACACGATTCCGCGTCAACAAGAGTTCCGCTATGCAAATCCATCTGCCAAGGCGTCTTACAGATGGCGGTTGAGCAAAGTCGCTGCGTTCCTGAACAAAAATACCACCGAGGAAGCCCGCAAACCAATCCCCAGCCAACTCCTCCGATGCTTCTTCTCGCCGCAGCCCGCTTTGAGACTCGACCTCACGTCCAGTCCAGCCTCAAGACTTTGGGCACTCGGGGGTGAAAACGGGAGCTCGAATGCAGCCTTGCGCGTTTGGGCGGGCTTTCCACTGTGAGACCCGCTCAACTCTCTCTTCCACTTTGGCGTCTCTTCCTGATCCCCATCGTTCATGGGGTGATCATCATTTAGGGGGGCCTGGGGCGTTTCCGGCGTTCCCGGGTCAGATGGCTTGTGTGACTCGGAGCGGGCTAGATCCAGTAGCTTAGACTCAGTGGTGGAGTCTCTATTTTGGCGAATACTGAAGAAGGGCTCTTGCTCGAATAATCTGTCCGTGAAGCATAGCCACCTCGCAGTACGCTGGGAAGCGGGGGCGCGATCCGAGCCCTGACGATCATTTTCAAACAGCTCCCAAGTTCGCTGTTGAATGCGTGAGAAAGCAACGTTTGGTTCAAGCCCCTCATATTCAGGGGCTAATTCCTTTGCCTAAAAGTCCATAGTGGCGCGGCTATACGGTTGCGGGGTGCTGTCCGAAGTCGTCGAGGCAACAGGAGTGTTGGGTGCCCTGGCGAGGAAAGAATTGTTACTGCGCTCCTGCATCTCTGGGCTCCTCGCCGTTGTAGTGACATTGTCGAGAGGTTTGTTTGGCTTCACAGTGATATCAGAGTCTTCAGTATGGGCACTGGACCCGCTGGCCTGGCTGCTAACGGTGTTGGTGACGACTTCCGCTTGGCCCCAATCGACATCCATCCTGTCCTCGTCAAGGGACACACGCTCCATCCTTTCTGATGCGGCATCCATTGCGGCATCAATGTTCGATGGCTCATTTTCCGTGCGCTCTACCTTTTCTTCATAAGGTGGTGTGAGCAGGTCAACTAAATCATTGGAATGCGGAGCACGGGCATCTTCCCGACGTAGGGGAGGAGGGAGACCGTCCACCATATCATGGTCAGAGCTGGTGGTAACCTTCTCCGCGCTGTTTTCGTACACCGATCCGTTGGCAAAGTTGACGAATTCTTCGTCGCGCATTTCCTCATCTAGGTCGCCCGCTGATGCGTGATTAGTGGCCATTGAGTCCAGACTGTTGGACCTGTTACGTCTCTTCGAGTCCGGAGACGACATCGAGATTGGTCCACGCTTTCTGGAGTCTTCGTGTTGTTCTTGCTCAGTCTGCGCCAGCTCTTGGCTGAAGAACTTATTGTCAAACCTGACAAAGGCCTTTAGAGCGTCATTCAACGGGATTGGTTCAGTGTTCATAGCCTTGTCCGAAGCGTAAATGAGAAGAGGTTCAGTGCCGACTGCGCAAGCCTGCGAGATAGCAGCCTCGTAGGTTGTTTTCTAACAATATAACGTTAGCAAACCCATTCCGTCCATCACTGTTGGTCTCATGTCTCTTAGACAAAGGAACTTACTTCGATCTGCACGGCGTAGTTGTTGTCGGAATAGCACCAAATCTTAAACCACTGTTCAGTGGGAACCTCACCATCGTCGAGGTCAATAAGCTCGACTTCCTGTTTCCGTAAGAACACGGTGTTTGGCTCGCTTGTCATGCCACGAAGAGTAAATTTGGCCGTGGGGACCCATGAATTATCCGATGCAGGAACGGTGAGAGCCTTGCTATGTTGGTTCAAAGCGTCCAAAATGCGTTCTTTTTGTGGCGCAATAGTACCTGTAGATCGTCAAGTCAGCACCTCGCTACATTTGATGGCATACGGAAGAAGAAGATAGCCTTAGAGAGTGGCCACAGTGATCATACCTTGCACGATCTTTTCGATCCTGGCTGCCTGTTCTGTCAGAGATTTGATCTTGCGCTCGTAATAAGCGATGACCTTCGCCTCCTCCGGTGAGACCGGAGCCTCCTTTTCAGCGCCCGCTAGATAAAGTCGGTAACCATCTCCATCGTCATCAACATCGGAACTTGACTCTTGGAAATTCCTCCAGGATGCACGACTTTTGACTTGCTGAATGTGGTCTTTGCAGCGTTCAATACTGTCTGTGATCATAGTTCGACGGTCCATAGGTTTGCCCGTTTGGTTGTCGCTCCATGTCGTCAACCTTTCCTCCTCCTCCACACATTTGCGATATGCGTACGCAAGTCTTGATAGATCTACTTGTAGTTCGTTGATTTTCTCTTCATTGGAGGCCAAGTATCGGTCAAGGTATATCGTCTCGGGTATGTCAATAGCTGCCGGGAGTCCTCGTGATGCTCTAAGCCCAATCGTGAATACCTCAGGCAGCTTACTTATGGTGCTGTAGGGAGCGCCGTCGAGTGACTCTATTGAAGTATTCCGGTCCACCCAAAATACCTTATCAAGACAACCGTAGAGGTTTCCTGTGGTAAGGTCGACACCTTCGCAGTCCCATATGTTGATATGTTCTTCTGAAGAGCCTTCTGCTGTGCCGTATAGGGACTTTTTATAACACATGGTGAGATCGTCCCAGCTGCCATCGTTTTTGGCTTTCAGCATCTCCAAGTGGCTGTCGAAGAATTCCTTCTCGCTATCCCAGCGCTCTTCGACACCGGGAGCTTTGCACTCCGCCAAGATGTCTGCCGTTCCGTACGCCCTTTCCGTCGAGTCCAGGAATGCTACCAAACGATGAAGCTCGTCAGACCACAGGGGAAACAGCTGTTCCCGTCCCGAGCCAGTTTGTTCAGTACGTGCCTGTAGCTCCGGGGGAAGAATCTTCTGTCCCTTCCACCATTCGCTGTTGCTTCCATAGCCGTACTCCGGCACAGTGCCTAACTGGAGAAGCGCATTCCGTGCGGCGGGGATGGAGTGTAATATCGTCAAAATTCCACCGATACGGTGTCGGTTGGTCGTATTTTCGGAACGGTTCCTCAAAAAAGCCGGGCTCCCGGGAGCCCTTGCTCTACTGACTGGTCTTGGATCCGTTTGACGAAGCCTGAGGGGAACCATGGCCCATTGATTCGGATCATAGTCCGTTCTGTTCGCTGGACCAAAATATGCGCCATTGCTAGTGACACCCGACTCTTGGGGCGGAGGTGGAGGGGGCAACTGCGGCGGCAATGGAAGTCCGTTGGTACTCGGCTGAGGGGTGTGCATGCCCGAAGGATTCATGGAAGCCGCAAGGGCTTGTTGTAGCTGTGCGTCCTCTTCCTGTTGGTTCGTCGGGGCGCCGGAAGGATATGGACCGGTAGTCATGTCCACAGCACGTCCGATAGGAGACCGGTTGTCAACCCTCGAAGGAGGCCGGGATGGAGCAGTGGGATCATATCCCGGGTCGTATCCGTAGAGGACAGGGTTGTTATCTGGAGGCTGGATATGAAAAGCTAACCCGAGCTTGTTAGCAGAAGATTGTGACATGTGATTCAAGCAGTTCCAGGAGTCGAATTAAGACAGGGAGCTTACACTGGTTGGGCCCATAAACAGCTGCAACTCCATCACCTTCACGGTTCGTATTGAACACGCTCTCATCCCAGGCGTAGGATCTTTGAAACTGTACCCAGGGCGTCAGTATCCAGTTCTGTCCTAACATGAACCCCGTGGGGTGCTGCGCTGGAATCTAACCTTATCCACGTCGTCTAAGATCATATTGATGACCGCTTCCAAGTCGCCATCTTTGGCTCGCAAAGCAGCTGCGATGGTTGGCTCATCATCGTAGTTGGTGATGGCGCGCACCATTTGGATTTTCTCCTGGTAGTCATCCATGGTGTCCGGATGTTCCTCTTTTGCGCCGCTAGCCCTATAACCGTCGTGCGTAATGTAGTCGGCTTTTGCGATGGTTCAATATGTGCCGCCAGCAGTCCCAGCGTCAGGCGCTCCTGGTCGGAGCGTGCCGCAGGTAGTTGAGATGTAGTTGGGCTGCCACTGATCGAGGGAGACTTTGGCCACAGGGGTCGAGGGGAAGAAAAGCAGTGGGCGTCGGTCAAGAAGAGAAAGAGCCCTGGTCGCGAGAAGCTCTATCGATTTATGTAAAGCTGTATACTGGGTCAAAGAGGGGCGGCAAGATGTAAAATGTATGGCGACTAAAGGACCGAAGCGAGAACGAGAGAGTTGGTAAGTTGAGGTTTGCGCAGGTTGCTCTGACTTGACGGATGATGTCGGCGGGGCAGCGATGGTGACCTTGATGGGTAGGGCCTGCGAGACGAGACCGGGGGTCGGGGAAGGAGACGTAGAATGTGTTGTTGAAGGAACGGACGGCGATCTTGGCGTTCGTCTACCTAGCTACCGGGTTGAGGGATAGCTCTGCTCTTGCTTTTTGTTGTTGTTGGACGAAGGCAGGGCGAACGGGATGTGGGAAGCCAAATTGGGATGTTGAGAGCCTGCTTGATACCCGAGCCTTGTACCTACAGTAGGTACGTAAACAATGCGGCAGGGGCAGCTACTGAATGATGGGCAAGAGCTGCGCCGGATTGCGGGGAGGGGGGATGGTATTGAGGCACTTTGTTTGCCTTGGAGGGTAAGCCAGAGAAGACGTATACTTTGTACTGTCGGTCAGGTATCCTCCGGTTTCTGGTCGGTTTCTGGTCGGTTTCTGCCCGTTCACAAAATTCACTTGTTTGTACAGAGGTATCCCATGAGGGGACGATGGAGGGGCTTCGTCACTGTGTCAGGGGAGGTCTTCTGTTTGGCAGCACGGGATGACCTACCGACATCGTGCACGGGCCATTTGGCTCTGATCTTAGACGATGCCATCGCGGGGCTACACTCTTTCTTCACTTCATGAACGAAAGTTGAAAGTCTATAGCTCTAGTCTAGACGTTTCCGCTAAAGGTAATCTATGTAACTATGAAGCCAGACCGCTTCCCTTCTTTACCAATGTCTTCCGCTGTTCATGGAAGACTATGGCTAAGGATAGGCAAGTACCTAGGTGACGGTGTGTGTATGTAAAAAGCGACCAATGAAATTCCCGCCAGATGCCGTGTATCTGTTTGGGAGACCATGAAAACGCCCAAACACACCTGGAGTGTCCCCGACGCTATGCAAATATTACGGACAGAAAAGAGTAAAAAGAGAAAGAAAAAGAGGTATATCATCATCATCCTGACCCAGACCGACCCAGTTTGGCTTGACAACTGCTGCTGTTGCGGCTGCTGCTGTTAAAAACCGTAGCCACCAACCGAGCCCCATCTATTGCTTGGAGTTGGAATCGTCGTCGTCGTCCTCGCTCCCTTCTTCCCCATCCTCAAAGTCCTCCATCTGATCGTCATCCCCGGTGTCACTACCACCAAAGTCAAACTCCTCATCCGACTCGGCCCAAAAGTCGTCGTCGTTCTCCGCCTTCGGGGGTGGCTTTTCCTCGAAGCTGACCGGCATCTCGAATCCTGGAGGGATATCCTTCTTTGACTTCTCCACCGTTTCCCGAGCCTTCTTGTTGTAATCCTCTCTGCGGTCGCGGTACAGGACGCCCGCGTCCACGTTGGCGGGGCTGTTGATCTCCGGGTCGTCGAGCAGCAGCAGAACCGACCTCAGCACGCTCTCGGCGCCCTGGAGCGGCGACCAGCGCTCGCTCGCCTGCTCGCCAGACATGAGATCCTCGCCGGGTGTGTGCAGGATCGAAATGCAGAGCTGGCCGTCCGGGTACACGTTGGGGTGGGTGATGGGGATCAAGAAGCGGAACTTGGGCGGCTGGTACGGGTATTCGTCCGAAAACACCATCTCGGCCCGGAAGTAGCCCCCGTTAAAGGCGCTGTCGGGGTTGATGACCATGAGGCCGAAGCGCCACTTGAGGATGTTGGTGGCCGCAGAGTCGTCCTGTTTGCTCCGGAGAAGTGAGGGTCAGTCTGGGTTCCGTAATGGAGGTATAGTGATACTAGAATCGACATGCGGGTACTGCGCCCGACGAAGCTATTCCGAGGGACAGACCGGGAAAGAAAAAGAAGGAACGGGGTCAGAACGTACATCTTCAAAGTGAATCCACTTCTCTTTTCGTAACGCCTTCATCTCACTCATCAGGCGCGTTGTCGCGCCCGATGCTGTTGTCCTGTACGACATGGCGAAATGTGGTTACGGAGGTGAAGGCGAGAGGTGCCGGTGGCGGAGGTTGACAAAAGCAAGAATGGGCTGCCGCTGGAAAAGCCCACTTTGCTTCGTTGGTGGTGTTGGTGAGGTAGATGTGTTGGTGGTGGTTAAGTAGTCAAGGGATCGACACGCAAATGCCGACGAAGAGTTCTCTAGTGCGCAAGATCCGGGGGGCACGAGAGGAGAATGGCGGTCCTTGTAGTTCGACGTAAGAGGCGGGGGTTCGGGAAGATTGTTGGAAGGTGGTGAAGGAAGGGTCGGAGTGAGTATTGATCTTTTAAGAGGGATGGAATGATAACGATAACCAAACAATGGAAATAGACTACGGAAGCACGGACAGTTGCCGGGTACAAAGGATAGAAGCTAACGGTTTGTCACGATGCTCTTTGGGTGTTGAGTGGGCGGAAAATCAAAGGCTGGGCGGTGACAATCTGGAACAATAGAGAGGTTGCGAGTCAGGAGAAAAGCAGGGTCGGACGGGAGAAAAAGGGCGTCACGAGCGTCACAGGGTCACGCCTCCGCGGGCGAGGGTCCGTTACGGATGGAGGTTGGGCAGTCTTTCCTTTTAGCAGCCCAGACCATTTGTGAGGTTATTGACTTCCTTCTTCCAGTGAAGCACAGGGGGATCCTGTCAACTGCCTGTCTCGCCTTGTCAATGGTGGTCAACGCCGCTGCACACAATGGCGGTCTCGGGCTCTCGGGCATGAGACCAATAGTATCGCCAAAAGAGGGAGGCGGTAATCATCAACATTTAGAAAAGCAAACTTTGATACTGATTGACTGGGTTTTATTTAGTCCTCGGTCCAGATGACAAAGTAAAACGAGAGGTATCAGACTATTATGTACACGCACAACGGCACAATATCTTTGCCACTGACAATTGCAGGTATCGCATGTTTTGTAGACAGTACCTTACGTACCGTATGAGGATGCACTAACAATTTCCACTGAAGCTTCAAGTGACGCAGTTGTTCCTGTTGAGATTGGAACGGTCCCGTCGTTCCATCAAGTGACCTAAATCGCATCCACTTCTGCATTCGTGTTCGGGCATCATATACCCGTCATGAACTACACTTTACTGTATATACGAGTAGTCTGTGACGAAACACCAGGAAAGTCTCTCTAGACGAGCTCGTATGCGAGACCAGGTTTCCAATCTCCCGTGGTCCATGGACCACAAGATAGACAATCTGGGAGGGTAACAAGTCGGCGAGGACCCTGATAGTTACTCAGCCCAGGCCCTCCGCGATCGGTCTCTTCCCGTTGCGAACCTCTCGGGGTAGCCAGTAGGGTGCTCACTCAAGATAGCGAGATGGTCGGCCAGGACGTTTCGCTTGCCGTGGAAGGGTTAGGGTTGTATGTGAGATTCACAGTTCGGTGTGTTTCAGGGGCTCACTAGAGGGATGAAAACAAGAAAGACATCGGATGAGATGACTAGACCAATAGGTAGAGATTTGTCCGAGTCGGATATCATCCGGTGAAACTATTATACACACCTCCAACCACCAACTAGAGCAAGTAACCTAGCTACCTATGTACCTCCCCGAGGCCTCAAACACCCAACCGACTCGATCAAGCCGACAAGTCGTAATAGATACATCTCCCCGTCCTGAAATTATACACAAACGCGTGCTCCGACCCCTTCTTGGCCTCCCACTCCCACCTCCACCCCTTCAACATATCGTGAATCTCCTTGACATACTTCTTCTCACTCGTGCCCACATTGTGTTCCACCTTGCGCCAGCTCTCCGCGTCGCTCAGGCTCGTCCGCCGTATCATCTCCATCACGTTATCCGACGTCTCGATCGCGGCAATCGGCCCGTCCAGGAAGCTCTGCAACAGCCTGGCCGCGCTCGTCTGCGCCTGCTCCACCACCTGTCGGCGGTTGAACTTCTTGCTCTTCGTCTGCGCCACGAGCACGTGCACCTCCTGCTCACGCTCGCCGTCCGCGCCCAGGAACAGTCCGCTGTTCAGCTCCGAGTTGTTCATGCCAAAGGACGAGAGACCGCCGCCTCCGCCGCCGCCGCCGCCGCGGAACTTGATGGCAGCTCCGGATGACATGCCGCCGCCGCCGCCCGTGCCGCGCATGAGAGCGTCCCTGTTCTCGCGCATCTCGGCCTTCAGCCAGTTGAGCAGCTCCTTAGCGGGGATATCGGCGTCGGGCGCGTCTTTGCGACCCATGGTCTTGATTTTGAGCATGTTGTCCTGTTTGATGATGACGATCCACGAGTACGACTCGTCGCGATACTTGGAGAGCAGATCTTCCGGCGAGCGGGCGTCGCGGGCTAGCTCGGCCGAGATGCCTTGCGCCCAAAGCGTCTGAACGAGCTCAATGCCCGAGGAGCGGAGGACTTCGGGGTCGAAGGAAGCGACGAGGACGTCGCAGCGTTTGATGTTGAAGAGCCCTTGGCTCTCCTCTTCGGCTGCCTTTTTGAGGAATGCTTTTCCGGTGGCTTTCGGAACGGGCTTCGCTAGCTGCTTCTCCCAGTTCAAGCTGAAGCCTACCGCATGGCGCTCTTCGAACCGGTTGCCGATCTTGGGACGGTGTTCCTTAATCAAGCTGTCGTAGCGGCCACCGGCGGCAAAGACGTCTTTGACCTTTTTGTCGTATAGACAAGAGAAGAGGGTTCCACCGCGGAAGAAGGCCTCGTTGATGCTGCTCAAGGGTGCGATGTAGATTTTGTTTTGTACGCCGAACCGCTTGGTGTACTCGTACACTTCTTTCAGATGGGCCAACGTTGATGAAGCTTGTTGATAGTATTCTGTTCCTTCGAAAAGGAGCTTGATCTTGGAAATGGCCTTGCTCGGGGTGTCTAGAACAAACAGTTAGTTTATGCTGTGATTATTTCACTACGTAACGCCACACTTACCTCTGAAGTCAAATCTCTGTAGCTCGTCCACGCTGGTTGCCGATATACCCACCATAGGCGATCTAAGCTCACCACGCACCTTTTGCCACGTAAAGTTGCGAATGTTGAGCTTGCTGAGGACCTCAGCAGCAGCCCTCCGTGTGCCCACCTCTACACCGCAGTACTCGAAGATAAGATTCAGGAGGTCGGAGTGCCCAAGCTGGAAGCAGATGGGAGTGGATGACACGGTAGGGAACGCGGTCACGATCTCGTCCAGAACTTTGATGACCTCAGCTTCTTTCAGAGCAAGGTCCAAGGCGTCTGAAGTGATAATGTCAAAGTCGACTTCTCCATACACATCCGGCTGGCCACCGCCGTGACGTTCACGGAAGATGTTGCCAAAGGAGTATGACTTCTGGACAATGGGGCTGTTTGTGATTCTTGCGAGAGAGCGAGCATGGCCCATCATCAGATCGAAAGGCAGCTGAAGAACCGTACCATTCTGATCTAGTAGATGAACTGCGTTTTGGCCATAGTGTGAAGAGCTGGGATACAGGCAGGCGGTAGGAGCCTCGACTGCACCGTGTCGCCGGAAGATGGATATCAAGGTGTCTTTGACGATGAACTGTCGCATAAGCTCCTGGGGTGAGGGCCCAGAAGAAGACATGTCCCAGGCATAATCCTTTGCTTGTTCGATCGGCCTGGAGAACAAAGTTTCGAGCATCTTCTGGTAGTAAGGTGAGTTGGGATCCGACAATCCAGCAATCGCACGCCGTATCGCCTCGCTTTCCATCTGAATCGGTAGCTTGCCACTCTTCATGAGCTCTGAGCTCGAAGGACGCTCTTTAGGGTTGTGGGTCAGCAGTGACAACAGAACCTCGAGATGGTTTTTGTCCATATGCTTGAAGTCAGCGGGCAGAACTGGAGGGGATTGGCGCAGCTGCTCAAGGACCATAGCGCGCTGCATTCCAAGCATGGGAGGGTACGACATCTCGAAGAAGATCACGCCCAAGGAATACATCTAGAAATAATGTCAGTCCAGCCTAACAAACTTGGCCATGGGGGACGGTGAACCTTACATCAACCTTTGAGGTATAAGAGCCGCTGCCACCCGTCCTGACCTCAGGGGCAACGTAAACTGCTGTGCCGATGCTCCTGGTCATGTCGCTTGCATCCAAGCTTGCTGTTGACTTGTCTATCGCCAACTGTCCGCTAGTGGCCAGTCCAAAGTCGCCGATCTTCACGTTATCCAGGCCATCAGGTCCTGAAGAGATGAAGATGTTCTCGGGCTTAAGGTCGCGATGAACGATGTTGAGGCTGTGAATGTGGCAGAGGCCTTCTAGGATTTGGCGGAATAGGCGCCAGATCTCGGCTGTTTCCTTGGACAGATTCCGAGATATCAAGTCGCGCAGTGTCTGAAGAATAGTTAGATATGTCTCCCATCGCTAATTTGGCTCGAAGTTGAACTTACCCGCTTCTCGCAGTACTCCATGGAAATGTACATGACAGTCTTGTATGGGCGAGCACTTCCTCGCCGAGGACGACGTCCTGTAACCCCGAGGTGGCTCTTGCCGCTCACGGTGGCAGCATCGTCGTCCGAGTCACTGCCGGATTCATCTTCTTCATCGTCTTCGTCTTCGTCGTCATCATCTTCTTCACTTGAGCTGTAATCGTACTCAATGCCCGGGTGGCCACTGGAGGACATGAAATCCAGGCCTCGGCTTTTGCTCTCGGCAAACTCGATATTAATGCCGTGGGATATCGTGACCTGAGAGCTGTCTGTGATATCCGTGGCACCACCTTCCGTTGAAGTATCGCCTTCTGTGTCCGCGTAGTCCGGCACCTCCTCGAGCCATGTGTTGTAGTATCTCACTACAGCTGGATGGTTCATCTGGGAAAGAAGTCGGACTTCCTTCAGAATCTCAGATAGTGTCTCTTGCGATCTCTGAGTGATCTTCTTAATGGCGTATAGGTGTCCATCGATCATCTTGCGGGCTCGGACAACCTCTCCGAACCCTCCTTTTCCAAGACGGGCCTCTTCCACATAGTCCTGCCGATATCTGGAAGACATGGGTCCGCGACTCATTGAGTCGTACCTCATCCTCTGTGGGATTGTTTGCGGCATGGGCATTAAAGAGCCCGGCACAGCAATGTCTTCGTCGTCGATAATGGGTGCGTTGGTAGCGAGGAATTCGCTCGAGCTCAACTCAAAAGCCCGTGGCCGCTTCTTAGGGTCGGACTTGAAGAACTTGGAGACCAGTTCTTCCAGAGGAGCCGACAGAGAGAGAGAATCCATCAATGCGGAAGGCGAATGATACTTCTCGGCAACATCCAAACCGAAGATCATCTGGAGGAAGACGATGCCAAAATCCCAGACATCGGTCTTTTGAGTGTACTGAGGTTTCGATACGCCTGCGATTTCGGGCGGAAACCAGTATGCGGATTTGGCGGCTCTTGAGGATGTCAGCGTCTTTATCTTTGTACAGAGGTTGTGAAGTTCCCTCTGATAAAACGCATCAGTTATCTTGGGCACTATATCCCCCGCCTGGTTTCTGTAGAGGAGAATGTTGGCTGGGTGAAGGTCCTGATGAATGATTCCGTTATTGTGTAGAAATGCCAGTGCTTCCAGAAGGTCGGCCGTCCATATTTTTGCCTTGTTGGTGTCAATGTGGCCCGCCAGATCGAGAAGCTCTTCAATGGGCCCCTTTGTGGCGAGGGGCGTCAGAATGCTGACCGTCCAGATAGTCGGCGCCGAAGAATCGGTGTCGCTGATGCCTCGATCGATTCTGAAATCAAGGAAGGGAAGCAGATTCTGATGGCGAAGCTTTTTCAGTGTTTCCATCTGCGACTCCAGATACTGCAACTGCTTCTTGAACTGAGCCGAATCCTTTCCGTGTGACTTGACTTCTACTTGCTTCAAGGCTAAGCTGGGGCGCACTGTTCGGGCGGACAGAACTGGTTTCACCTTATAGACGGTGGTGATGGGACCTTCGCGAAAGACAGTTTTGCCGATGACGGTTTGGAAGAACAAGGCATTACCGGAGTCGTCAGTGATCTTGCAGGGCTGATCAAACATGAGCGTCTCGTCAGTCTCGCCAGGATCTTGCGGAGCACGGTCAGGGGATAATTGGTGGCTCCTGTTCTTCTTTCTGGATTCTTTTGCTTTATTTCGCTGGCGTTTGAGTTCTTCCTGGAGCATGTCTTCGAGGACTCTTTCTTCTTCCTTGCTCTCTTCGAGCTTCTTCCGTTCCTCTCGCTCTTTTTCGCTCTGCGCTAACCTTGCCAGCTCTGCTTCGTGGGCTGCCCTCTCCTCTTCAAGGGAGGGGATTTCCAGCCCCTGGACCTTTTTCTGAGCGGCTTCCTCCAGGATATCGCGGATCCCTTCGACAATCTGGTCTATCATCTCCTGTTCCGCTTGCGCGTAGATCTTTGGCTGAGTTTCCACAAACTTTTGGATCTTGAACTTGGTTGATTCTCGTAGACTATGATCATCCTTGATGGTCAGCAATGGAGGGGACTTTGGGTAGGTGGCCACCATGACAACACCCAGTGTTACTGAGAGCTCTTGGTCAGCTGAGGGTTTGATCTTGATGTCAAAACGAGGTTCTGATTTCTGGACGGATGTTAGTGGACGACACTGTGAGAAGAGATGAGATGTCAGATCTTACCTGCCATGCCCCGTGTGCTGCTTCGTGTTCGGTAAAGTCTTCGCCATAGATGGCTTGCAGCACCATTACTTCACTCTCCTGGACTTCCTGATAATGAGTCTTTGCTGGTGGGGTTTGCCCCGGGGTCTTGAGCCCGGGGAAACTGGTGTTGGCTTCATTGTTCTTCTTGGGGGTTTGTTGTTGGGCAGGCTTCTTCTTGCCGGCAGGTTTCTTCCACGCCATGGCGAGCTGTTCTGCTTGGGCAGAGATCCTTGTATTAATCAGTGAGTCTTGTTAGTCGTTGTGAAAAGGGGGTTAGACGAACATAGCCGAGATGGCTGCGAGACTTCACTGAGCGGAGCCCATCTTAACTCGTGATATCAGAAGGGAAGGGGGAGAGAAACTGGAAGGGGAAGGGTGAAGGTTGGGTGGAAATGGAGTGACGTGGTCAGCAGTCGCTTTTCCAAAAGTGAGTGGGAGCAGAAGAGATGGAAGATGGGTGAAGTGGACAAGCGTCGGGTGTGACTCGTCGAATGACTCCAACTGTGACTTCCAGATTGGAATGGAAACCTGTGAATGTCTCCATGTTAGAGTCCACGACAACAGCATCCATCCCGCTGTTCATTTCGGGCCTGATAAGGTCCCCCCAGCGAGTCTAGATAAACTTCCCAGCGCTGTGGGCGGGTACTAGCGGGTCCCTCAAGGTTCACCGACCGAGGGACCGCGGCTGCACCGACCCACGACACACTGGCGGCGGGGAACAGTGGAAGTGGGGCCCAAGCAAGGAATGGAGACAAAAAGTGGAGACCCCGCAGTCCCACTTGGTCCGAATTGAGATCTCTGCCGTGCTCTGTTTTATCATTTGATGGCACTGACCACACTGACAGGACGCTGACGGATTCCCATTGGCTCCCTGCTGTCCTGTTCAGGGAAAGAGTAAACACTCGCGCTCGACACCACCCGACTGCAACAAACAGGAGTCCTCCAGTCCCATTGCTCCCGACTGCGAATCCGATTCCCATTCTTACAACCTCCATCATCACAGCCACCATCAACCAACCCCCTCCTTATCGCGCGAACCGTATTCGAGGGGCCTATTCCCCCATTTCCGACCGCCCAGAGTATGCTGCGCTAGACTTCGCTTCAACTTCTTCATCCATCACCGACCGACACAATGATTAGTTGGGCGTTGAGGCGCAACAACAACTCGAATGCGCAAAATGCACAGGGCGCGCCCGATGCCGGTACGGTTGCAGACCATTGCAGGAGCCTCATTACAGTTGTTTACTCTGACCATTTGGCCCAGATGAATCCACCAACCAGCTCGATGTCCCCGATACTCCAGCGCCGGTTTTTGCTGTGCGCGCCTTGAAGACTGCCTTGTTCGGCACACCCGCCAAAGACTCCAAAAAGGCCGCTCCTATGCCCGGTCCTCATCGATCACCGACGAAACCCACCGGCATTCTCTTGACTCCAGGCGTCGGCGCAGCTCGTCGCAAACGCGTTTCCTTCGGTCATGGCGTTAAGGCGGGATCGGCCCTGGATTTGACCGCGATTGACGGTCAGGCCTCGAAACCAAAGACCCGATTGAACGAAATTCTCGAAAATTCACGGACCCGGCCGCAAACCGCAGATCCTGGCGTCAAGACGTTTTCGGCCGAAGATGCATGGGATGAAGATGATGTCGAGTATTATGATGACTCGGATCTTGAGACAGATATCACAGATGCCACGGTCGATCTCAACGAACCACACTCGCGTTCTGGCAGGTACTGGAAGGCCGAGTTCGAAAAGTATCACGCGGATGCGAGGGCGGAAATGGAGAAGCTGGTTAGATATAAGCAACTCGCAAAGTCCTACGCAAAACTGAAAGATGCCGAGGCCATCGACCTGAACAAGAAGCTCAAGGAGGAACAGGAGAGGGTCCAGCAAATGGAGGAGCAAATTGCCGAGATGACGCGCCACGTCAATCTCTATTCGAAGCGAGGTGGTGCCGAGGCCAACAACGGACTGATAGAAGAGCTTAATCGGCAAAAGGCTTTGACGCAAGAGTACAGGACCCAGGTCGAGGAATTGGAGGAGATACTGCGCGAAGATGAAGAGGATCATAACGACTATCAGACCGGGAGCCATGCTTCATACAAACGACGGATCGCATCGCCAAGAACTCATCGGACACTTTTGGAGGCCCAGCGAGAACTTAGGAAGGCTAGGTCACAGGTTAGGGAACTTGGAAAGCTTCGGGATGAGCGGGACCGAATGAAGACAGAGCTCAAATTCGCCGAGCAACGAGCCAGCGCACTCACCGAGGAGAATAAGAAACTCAACAGTGAGGTGGTGCTGAGCAATTTCAAGGTCAAGGATTTGGAGAAACGGCTGGCCGAATCCAAGAATGAGAATCTGGTCAAGGACAACGAATTCCAAAAACTCAGGGCGGATTACAACAAGTTAAAGGAGGACGCCAAATCCCGATATGTCGAAGCGAGGGAAGTCTTGGAAAAGAAGAACGATAAAATATCCGAACTTCAGCAGGAGATTGCAAGCCTCAAGGCAGAGACGATCGAGTCCAAGTGGGCGGCGCGGATGAAGAACTTGGAGGCGAAATTGAAAGCAAGCCACGACAAGATCAAGGAGGCAAATGACCGAGAGGAAGCACTCAGGTTCCTGGAAACGGCCGAGGAGGAGAGCACGTTGCTGTTCAAGGAGCTAGATGCGCTCAGGAGAACAAGCATTCAACGAGGGCTTCTGGCTCCCGCACCAGCTGCCGGAGCCCAGAAGAGAATCAAGACCAACACCGGCGACATCAAGCGGTACAGCTACGAGGACGAGGCATTGGTTTCTTCTCGTGCGCTTCGAGAGAAGATAGAGGCAGACATGGCCAAAAAGCCTTTAGGATTCGGTGAAACCGCGAAGCAACAAGCACCTTTGTGGACGACCAGCCAGCCTGAGCGGACAGCCACATCGCGTAGGACAACAGCAGGGACTACCACGACAGCTGGTTCATCTGCCGCTGCCAGGACTCTCCGAACAAAGCCCAGCTTGGAGGACATTCTAGGCAAGAAGCTGGACAAGCCATGGACGAGCACCAAGGCGACGGCAACAACGGCTGCTAACACCGGCTCTCAATTGCCGGCGACAAGGAGGACGCGTATTGCCCGGCCTCTCTCCAACGAAGTGCCCGAGCTTGAACCATTCAAGGCCCCCACTTCTCACTCCTTCAAGGTGCCGGATCTTGAGCCCTTCAAACCAGACGTGGTGCCGCATTCAAACATTGCGCGTCTGGAAGGGTTCGACATTGACAGTAGCTCCGTCTGGAATGTTGGTAGTACTACACCCCCTCCGAAGACATCCACGACATCCACATCACTTCCCGCAGACCGCCGGGCGGCAGCCATTGCTCGATTGCAGCGCAAAAGAGCCGAAAGGGAGAAGGGGCTGGGCGACAGGAATAAGGAGAACCTGTGGCCTTGATAGTGGTGTGCATACCTCGTTGTTCCTCGCGGTGATAATGTTTGCAGCTTCATTTGTACATGGCGGGCAATGTATGGCAAGGCAATAGGCTTCAGGTGAGGCCGGTGTTAGATCACCTCGGTTCTGCAATGGGCAGGCAGGAATGGATTGGTTACGGTCACTGTTTATTATCCAGGAGGAAGCATTGCGTGGTGTTTAAGGGTCGGAGGATATGGGTTTCCTTATCTAGGGATCGCTACGTTGTGCCTATTATAATGGCGTTATTCGGCGTCCATCTTTTATGAGAAAAGCTAGCGACGAGTCCACAGCATGACGGAAGCGATGGAACAAAGTAATTACATCTGACACTGGTGTTTTCTGCTCATCGTGGATCTTCGTTGTCCTATTGGGGCGTTAACCCATATTATTGGTTTTGTTTAGTATGTAGTTCTAGAACGATGCATCATTGATAAGGAAGCGCAGGTTTGCCCCGCTTTACAAATGTCTCTTAGCAACAACAGCCGACCGGCCGTGTGTTACTATCACCACCCATGAAAAGAGAAGTATCTCCATTCAACTCACGAACAGCGGAAAAGTAACGTTGTTTCGTTCATCAAGAGTCAAGATGTCACAATCACAACATGGAAGAGCCATATCCGACGAAGCTCAAGCAATTGAGAACGAGATCGCCGACCTCGAAAGACGCCTGGCTGAAGCCAAACTGAAACAGAGACAGGCTCAGCAACAGCGCAACAGCACACAAGAGTCTGAACCAAATGTGATATCATGTGAGTTACGCCATGCTCTACCTTTACCATCTCTTCATTTTTAATCGACTTCTCGAAACTCTATCTATACCGCAACCCCCCACTAACCCAGGCTCCTCAGTCCCCTCCCCCTCCCAAACCATCCTCCACTCCCCAGCCAACCACTTCCTCCTCCTCCTCTCCGACTCCGCGCTCCCTCTAGGCTCCTTCGCCTTCAGCAGCGGTCTCGAATCCTACCTCGCCCACAACAAACCTTCTTCCTTTTCCCCTTCCCCTTCATCTTCAAAACCACCCAGGACCAAACCCCCACCGCCCTCCTTCACCTCCTTCCTCCCGCTCTCCCTCTCCTCCTACGCCTCCACCACGCTCCCCTACGTCCTCGCCGCCCACCGCGACCCGGCCCGGCTCGCCTCCCTAGACGACACCCTCGACGCAACCATCGTCTGCACCGTCGGCCGGCGGGCTTCGGTCGCCCAGGGCCGAGCGCTGCTTTCCATCTGGGAACGCTCCCTTTCCGCGTCGCTACCGCCTTCCTCTTCTGCTTCTGCTGGAGCGGCTGCTGCTGCTGCTGCTATTTTGAAGCCGTTTTCGGCTTTACTGAGATCTGCAGGGGCGGCGGCACCGACTTCGTCTTCCAGCAGCGTCAACTCATCGACATCAACATCGACAGGAAGCAGCAGTGGGTGGAACGACCCCCCACCCGTCTCGGCCCACCTCCCGCCCCTATTCGGTGCCATCTGTGCCCTCGTCGGGCTCTCGCTCGAGCAGACGGCGTACGTCTACCTGCTGAGCCACGTCAAGGCGCTGGTGAGCGCGGCGGTGCGGGCGGGTATGTTTGGCCCTTATCAGGCGCAGAAGACGCTGGCGCGTAGACAGGTGCAGGAGATAATTGCGGCGGTGGTGGAGAGGGAGTGGGAGCGGGGCGTGGAGGAGGCGGGGCAGAGCGTGCCGGTTATGGATTTGTGGGTGGGTAGGCATGAGGTGCTTTATTCGAGGATTTTTAATGGTTAAGAGGTTGGTGTGGCAAGGTGGGAATGGCGTCGGAAGGAAACGTGAAGAGAGTTACATGGGGGATGCACGAGTGGGAAATGGGTTTGTTTACTTTGAAAAAGGGGTGGAGGAGTCAAATCATTGCAGCAAACTTGTCCGGTCTATGTTGTTCGAACGCTCTTGACTTGGTATCTTGTTCTTTCTATGACAATAATCCCATGCATTCCTCTTGCTTCATTCTTTCATCATCATTACCAAACAACTTCTTCCCACTCAAGCCTCAGTCGCTATCATCATCACTACCATAAGCCACCAGCGGTCCCGCCGAGACAGGCGCTTTCGGTTTCGCCGCAACCGCAACTCTAGCAGACTGTAGCGCAGCAAGCGTGCTGCCAGACAAAATCCCGCCGGAACTCTGTTGCTGTTCCTGAGGTTGTGCCTCATCTTCCTGCTCCTGTCCCCACCCTCCAGCCTCCCCAGCTTCGAGCATCAGCAGTTGCTGATCCTCAAGCTCGTAGCCTTCGCGACCCCTTGGGTTGACCGCATTCTTTCCCCGCGCAAAGTGTACCTCGTCTGGCGCCTCGTATCCTTCCAAGCCGTAACTGCTCTCAATCTTCCTCCGTTTCCGTGCCTCTGGGTCTTTGCCCTCAATCTCAGCAACATACTCGGCTGGCAGGGCTCGTCGAATGGCTTCGGCGGCTTGCTCCTCGATGCGTCTCGCCTCGCGTTTTTGCGCCATGGGGTTGGGATCCGCTGTCGCCCATCGAACGTTAAGGATCTCGTTATGGTCTAGCGACTGGTGGGCCATCGCTTCCTTGGCAAATTGAGCGTTTGCCTGTAAGCAGCGAGTTAGTACCGAGTCCAATACTCAAGGCCGGTGTTAGAAATCATTGCCTACCTCATTCGAATAAGTAACAAACGCCACACCTCTCGTGTTGAGCACACGTACTCTCTCTATTTGCCCCCATTCGGCAAAGTGACGCGCCACGATCTCCTCAATGTCCTCTGTTACGTGAATTCTGCCGATGTAAATCGTCCGGTTCTGCCTGCTGAAGCTGCCCACACCGCCCATATCATCGCGATAATCGCTGAATTTGTCGCGCCCGAAACAGTCCACGTTAGGGTTGAAGATGTCGTGAATGGTAGGTAGCCGATGGAGGTACTCGCAATCCTGGCCCTTGGGACAGACGCCCCTTGCGAAAAACAGACAGAAGAACGATCCTGCCACTCCATCGGCACGCGTGTATCCGGTATCCAGGGCGATATTACATCTTCCCTTTGCGTGTGTCTGGGACAGGTACTTGTCTTCACGGTCGCCACCGGACCACTTATTGTACCAGATGTTGAACGTCGTTCCTGTCTGCGGCGGCGGCTCGGACTTGACCAGCGCCGGGTCGATTTGGGGTCGCGCCGGTCTCTTCTTACGCCGGATGATCTTTTTGACCTTCTTTTCTGTAGTGGCGGCAACTTCGGTGTTGGTTGTGGTGAGGGCGAGCTCCTGTGTCTGCGCGTCTGTCGCGTCTTCTCCGGCTTGCGCTTGCTCGATTATGGCGGAGACAGGCTCCTCTGGCCTGGTATCGACTTCGGCCATGGTTGCGTCGGATTGGGATTCCAGGTACGATTCGGTTCGGAAAAAGATATCAATGTTCAATTGGCGTTATGTCGCATGTGTTGTTGGCAGGGTAGAAAGAATGTAGCGGATACGTCTGCTGCAATTGCGATGAGAAGTGGAAGAGACGATGACGCCGAGTTTGGTCGATGATTTGTTGTCTAGGCCAAGTCGCAAAGCACAGACACCTTACCGAGTTCCAAGGGTGTTGACTTTTTGGAGAATTTCTAAGCCTTGCAGTTCCTGGGCCGACCTGCAGAGACCCACTCCGTTCCCGCAGATTGTGTGGGTCTCCCAAAGGCGGTGAATGACAAAACCCACTTCTGTTGCCCCTCCTGTCCGGGAAATTCTGCCACTTGGGAACGTGGGGTGCGCACTGATCGGTTTGATGTTACTGTTTCTTACAGCGTGTAATTCGTCAACCTTGAATTTCACTTTCAGCGCCGCTTCACTTCTCATCAGCTTGTCAGCCTGGTGTTTATCTCGAGTTATCTCACTTCATTCTTGTTTTTGTTAGAGTGATACCAAGGACAGACTTGTCCTAAACCGCCAAGATGGTCAACATTACGGAAAAGATCAAGGAGTAAGCTGCACCATCGACGATTCCCCGGTGCCCGAGTGATCGGGTTGATGGAGCCAGTCAAACTGACCATGAGATACAAGGATTGAGGAGGAGATGAGGAAGACCCAGAGTATGTCCACGCCCCTATGCGACCAATTTGAATAAAGAATCATGAATGCTAACATTATCTCACAGAGAACAAGGCAACTGGTATGCTTAACCTCCTGTTTTTCACCCGTACTTCACATTATGTGCTGACCTGGTGAAACCAAAGAATATCATTTGGGTCTCTTGAAGGGGTAAGTGAGTCTACACTAGTCTATCCTTGCGGTTTCCCCTTTACTAACCACCATTAATAGAAAGCTCGCTCGTCTCCGCGCCCAACTACTCGAGCCAGGACCGGGTTCAGGCGGCGGTCCCGGTGCCGGTTTCGACGTCAGCAAAAGTGGTGATGCTCGCATAGCACTGGTCGGCTTCCCCTCAGTCGGTAAATCGACATTCTTATCCAAGGTCACCAAGACCAAGTCCGAAGTCGCCTCATACGCTTTCACGACTCTCACGGCTATTCCCGGTGTGCTCGAATATGGCGGTGCCGAAATCCAGCTGCTCGATCTGCCCGGTATCATCGAGGGTGCCTCCGAAGGCAAGGGTAGAGGAAGACAGGTCATCTCGGCCGCCAAGACAAGCGACCTGATTCTTATGGTTCTGGACGCCACAAAACGTGCTGAGCAGAGGGCCCTCCTCGAGGCCGAATTGGAGGCTGTAGGCATCAGACTTAACCGGGAGCCACCGTACGTCGTTTACCCTTTCCGTTGAGTTTGTTATTTTTTTCCCCCGGCCCTTTCAAGCTAATTACTCTCACCAGAAACATCTACCTCAAACCCAAAAAGGCCGGCGGCATGAAGATCACCTTCCAGACACCCCCCAAGAACGGGCTGGACGAGAAGATGGTGATGAACATCCTGCGCGACTACAAGATCCTCAACTGCGAAGTTCTGGTGCGCGACGAGAACGTGACGGTCGACGACTTCATCGACGTGATCATGAAGGACCACCGCAAGTACATCAAGTGCCTGTACGTGTACAACAAGATCGACAGCGTGTCTCTGGACTTCCTCGACAAGCTCGCGCGCGAGCCTTTTACCTGTGTCATGAGCTGCGAGCTCGACCTGGGCATTCAGGACGTCATCGACCGCTGCTGGAAGGAGCTCAAGTTGATCCGCATCTACACCAAGCGCAAGGGCACCGACCCGGACTTTAGCGAGGCCCTCATCGTCAGGAGTAATAGCACCATCGAGGACGTGTGCGATCGCATCCACAGGACGCTCAAGGAGACGTTCAAGTACGCCCTGGTTTGGGGCGCCAGCGCGAGGCATATCCCCCAGAGGGTGGGGTTGGCTCATCCGGTGGCGGATGAGGATGTTGTGTATATAGTCAGCGGGTGGAAGGCTTAGTTGGTGTGTTGCGGTTTAGGCGAGACCAGCATGTCGGAAAATATCAAACGATTTCATCACACGTCCACACAACAAGCAGGCGGTCTCGAACGGAAGACGACGTTCGTGACTACTGTGTAAAATCCCGTCATATTGACTGCCTTGTCGTTATCATTCCATCATTCATAACAGACGCCCTCTGGGCGCATACATAACCCATGTCGTTGTTCTGCCCTCATTGCTAACCCATGATTCCCTTCCTCTCTGACGACTGTCATCAAACAACAGAAAAACACATGATCCTCGAAGCCATTTTGCCCAAACGCCCTACGTGCAATACGCAGTTAAAAAAAACAGATATACCCCTCCAGAATAGAGATCTCTGTGAACTCTCCTTCCTGATGACGAAAGCGCATTAGAACAAACCAGCCTCCACAAAGACATTGCTAGCCAAATGCAACCTCGCTAATGTCCGTCATAAGCCAACGCAGCTCTCACTCTCGCCGTTGGCTTGCTATGCTTAAAAGCGCCGTAAAAGATGTGTGAAAAGGCAGTCGAAAGGGAAATTGGTTGACGCAACAGGATGGCTGGCTCATAATCGTTTCGTTCAATCCTTCTTTACTCCGAAAAGGCCGGTGTTGGTGGTGCCTGTGGTGCCTGTGTTGCCGGTGGCCGTCGTGCCCTCGAGTTTCTTAGCTGACGCCTGGGCGAAGAGCGACTTCGGCTTGACCCTGTTGTTGGGGAGGAAGCAACGGGTTAGCATAACTGAACATGTAGTGACGAGAGCTTGATCGTTATCGCGGGGATGGTAGCTGGGGAACATACTTTCCAGCCTGCTTGCTGCGGAAGGCGCTGAGCTTGGCGGTGCAGGGGCTCATGATGTTGTCCGACGGGGATACGTACTTGGTGTGGCTTTGGACATGAACTGTATTAGCTAGACTGTACTAGTAATGGGAAGAAGAGGGTACTGGAAATGGGGAGGTGTCATACTCAATCTCCATCTTATTCTGCAAGACCTGGCGGTGGTACTCCAAGGTCTTCATCGAGTCCGACTTGTTGATGGCCGCTGACGTGTCGGTCGCCTTGTTATCTGCTGAGGGTGCGGCAAACAAGGTGGGCTTTTGTTCGGTTGTGATGTCCATGGGTTCGCCGGGGGTAGTAGTATCCATGGCCATGTTGGCGTCCTTGGGGAATAGGACGGTGTTGGAAGACATCTTGGTTGGAAGAGTGGTGCTGTTGGTTTTGGTGTTGGGGTGGGGGAAGGTGGGCGATGTACGCGAAACCGTGGTGGTTACGTGGGAGAATCCAAGAATGGGTATTGCGTTCCAATAATCTGAAATGGAAGTAAAGAGAGGGTCAAGTATCGAAGAGTTCTGGTTTAAGGCGGGGCGTAGAGGTTTTGGGAGTGAAGCGGATGCGACTTTCGAAGTGAATGTTGATGCGCGGGGCAAGTCCAAGATCGGCAAAACAGTGGGCGGTTTGATGGTGTCAAGGTCCGAAAAGCTTTGTCTGTTGGTATCCGAATGCGGTTTCTTTTGTAAATCGTAAAAAGAGAAGTGAAGAGTCCAATACACCTTATTTGACTAAGGAATTGCCATATGGAATGCTGGTATTAGTAGCCGTCGTGTCGGTGGTAAAATTTGTTGACAGACTGCCTGTTTGGGCGACGGCGACCGGGCAACGGGCTCGTTCATTCCACCTTGATTGACCCTCCCTTGCGGGACCCACAAGACATCATCACTGATCGCTCCCGCCCGACGCAGGAACGTGGCCCATGCGTCTGGACCTGCTGTGTTGTCATGCTCCTCAGAGAATTTTGGGATTTCATCAACAGAACATGGAAATGAAAGAATGGCAGTTAATTACATTTAAGGCCTCAGGCGAGTGTGCTACAGCCGCTACACTAGCAGTATGGGACCCGAGGCCCTGTGTTGAGTTTTCGACGATGTCACCTCCACCACAAAGCCAGCAACGACTCCATCATACTCCATCATACACACGCAAGGTTGTCAGAAAATGTATGGATAATATAACTCAGGTTTTTGTTGGAACGCTTTAACAATGGCTCAACGGGACTGCGCAACTCAAAGCTTGGAGTGCTTGATGTTCGACCCAAGCTCAGTACGCTTGGCGCCATACTTCTTCCTCAACTCCTCTGCCTTGGCCTTCTGGGCATTAATCTTGTCCGTCACGGCCTTACCGCGCTTGTTCTCGTTGCGACCCATCTGTTGCAGATGGACCTCATCCGGACCATCAGCCAGTCTCAGAGTTCTGATCTGAGCCCACATGTTGGCCAGGGGGGTATCCTGGCTAACACCCGCACCACCAAAGCTCTGGACAGCACGGTCAATGACAGTCAAAGCCGTCTGTGGAACAAGAACCTTGGCCTGGGCGATCTCTGTGAGCGCCGCCTTGGGGCCTTGCTCGTCCATCTTGATGGCGGCGTTGAGCACGACAAGGCGCGCGGCATCGATCTCAATTCGAGACTTGGCGACCCATTCCAGGATGACGCCGTGTTCCCGCAGCTGCTTTCCGAAGGGGGTCTTCTTGGGGTCGTTGATACGCATGAGCATCCACTCCAAGGCCCTCTCAGCGGCACCGATCGTGCGCATGGCGTGATGGATACGACCGGGACCCAGACGACCCTGGATGATCTCGAACCCTCGGCCCTCGCCAAGAACGAGGTTGGCTGCTGGCACGCGAACATTGTAGAAGGTGATGTGGCCGTGACCGTGAGGAGCATCGTCATACCCATAGACGGAAAGCATGCGCTCGATGGTGATGCCCTTGGTGTCGGAGGGAACCATGATGACGGACTGTTGCCTGTAGGGATCCTTGTTGTTGGGGTCGCTCTTGCCCATGACAATGTAGACCTTGCAGCGAGGGTCACCGGCGCCGCTTGACCACCACTTCTGGCCGTTAAGAACATAATGATCGCCGTCCTTGGTGATCTTCATCTCGATGTTCCGGGCGTCCGAAGAAGCCACCTGAGGCTCAGTCATCAAGAAGGCAGAGCGGATCTTGCCATCCATAAGCGGCTTCAGCCATTTGGCCTTTTGCTCCTCGTTTCCGTACTTGGCCAGAACCTCCATGTTGCCAGTGTCGGGGGCAGCGCAGTTGACGGCCTCGGATGCAACGCGGGACTTGCCCAACCACTCAGCCATCAAGCCATATTCAAGGTTGGTGAAGCCAGGGGATTCCTTATAATGTCCTTTGGGGAGGAACATGTTCCACAGGCCCAAGGACTTTGCCTTGGCCTTGAGATCCTCGAGGATCTGGGGGTGGGCCTCCCATCTCGCATCTCCAACGCCGATTTGGGCTTCGTAGACCGCATCGGCACTTGTGACAGGCTGGTGTTAGAAACAGAAACCGGATCCATGCAGATGATGCTTACGGGATGCAGTCCTCCTCCACGAAGCGAGCAACGACGTCCAGCGTCTTCTTGGCTCGCTCACTAACACGATCGCGAACCTACAAGCAGAGGAGGAACGTTCAGTAATTGAGGTCGGTGAGATGCAGCGTGGAGAGGAAACTTACAGCGATGGGAATCTGGGCAGACATGATGATGATTGGTAATGTCGATCAACAACAAATGAAGCAAAGAGGAGAGGTGGTGTGTGATGGAGGAGAAAGGATCATATATCAATCAGGACGGTCAGTATCAAAGAAGGATCATGGGAATGTCGTTCGATTATGGACGACGATTACTAAAGCTGGTCTTCTCTCCGGGGAGAGACGATCTACCCCGGATTAAGGAGCCAGCCCATCCATGCCGAGGCACAATGTCTCCGCCGACAAGTCATTGGAGTCGATTGTGCGGGCACTGCGGGGAAGACCCGCCAAGCATCTTGATCATCGAACCACAGCAGTGACAGTTCCGAGACTCCGGATCTCGCGAGAGAAGACCCCGGTGCCAGATTGCCAGGTTGAGTTGATCAATTGCTTTTATACCGTTGTCCGGCCAGATCCGAAGACTGGTAGCATTGTGCAAATTGATCCATACACATCATGAAGGTTATATCTCAGATGTCAATGTTGACGTCTTGTCATAACCTTGCACGCAAAATCTATGTGTCATTGAACCGACCACCAACTGTCGGTCTGTTCGAATGGTCAAGTATAGAGCTAGGAAAGACGGGAGAGATGTTTTTGCTCCACAACGAGAGCTTATCCTGGTGTCTTCATGCCCCAAGAGGAATGCATGGAATTGGATATGAGGAACTACTGTAGGGGTAACCACTCCCGTAACTCCACTGCCCTCTCAGCTCTAAGAGTGTACCTGTGTCATTCAGACCCGTCAACACCAAAACATTCTGCTGTTCCATGCTTGCTCGTGTTTCGAACTGTTTAAGCTTCTGTTTCCGAAACAGTGCCTTGCGGAGAAGCCGCATAGCTTTCCACTTCGAGGGTTGTCGGTATCACCTGGGTACTTTATATCCTAGGTCAAGATGTACGAAACTCGACTTCGTTGTCATCTACCCATTGCGTTCCACCTATGTGAGTAAGATCGCACAGCGCACCTTGGTGCCTAGCAACTGGTCACAACACCTACAAGAAGCATCAGTGATTACGTACCTATGTGCGTTGCGGTTGAGACTGAGGTCGTCATCGTATTCGCTACCACGGAGAGGTAGCCCAACGACAGCCACCTTGGAATAAAGCAGACAGCAAAAGTTGTCAACATCTTCATTCTAGGCTCCTGTGACATAAAGGTAGTATGGCTGGGTTTCTGAAAATGCAGCGTTCGAGTTGTCAGACAAGCCCCTTGTATGAGGGCCAACGTCATTGGGAGGCGTCATTCAGCGGGATAAACGGATCTTGGATCCATTTGGCGCCGCGAAGGTTGTTGGGGCTGGACCCAACGAGGGGATTCAAGGCCATGGCACCCCCCTGTTCCGCGTGTTGCCTCCACTGACAGCGGCGTTGCGCTAGCGATGCTACACCAATGAAAATCTCTTGCCTGGAAGAGAAACGTTGACAGATCGATAAACTGGAGAAAAGGGACCATGATGTTCAACGTCGGCCGTCATATCGTAATTCTGCCAGAAACGCCCAAGTTAGAGAGTTGTAAACAGAAATAGGCATCCACTTACACAGTAGAGATACTAACTCGGTTGCCCATGCTAGGTAGCCATTCGCCGTCCATCCACCACTGGAAGACTGGGAACCATGATGAAGTGGGAACCATGATGAAGTGCGAATCATAAGGAGGCACGGGAGGTCAGGCACCATAGAACGGGAACTGGAAAACATGGCATCAGGGCACAAGGGGTTTAGGCATCAGATAAAAGAGCTATCCATCTGATGGAAGGCTTCAGAGCTGGTGGTGTATCAATGGTGGATATCTCGTCTTCGTTTCTGGAAATGTGTCAATATTTGTTTGCTGCATGGAAGATTCCATGGCAATTTTCCATTTTGCATGAAAAAGGAAGAAAGCTGCTTGGAGACGGGAATCAGGTGTTGCCCGTCTCGACTTTGATGTTCGTCACTGCCCCGCGCAGCCAATCAGCCGCGTGATCCATGCGCACCTTAGACTAATAGTCCGGACGCTTAATGTCGATCCGTTCCTTTAGGCCCATTCCAGCAATGATTACGCTGCTCTAGCGGCGCACCCCGTCATCCGTCAGGGGCTAGGCCGTCCGTCCTCCTGGGAATCTTTCCATTATCTTTTGAACATTTCCACTGTCGGTGCGACAGCATTCGACAGGACAGGAACCAGACCAGACAACCCCTCCTCGAGGTATGTTTAACCCCCACCATCCAATGCCATCCTGCGACATGTTCAGGCGCAGCAGGCTTTTTGAGCCTTCTTTGAGGCTTGGTTTCGTCGACGCGCGGGCTCGATAGCCGACATCTTTTTCCAAGCAACATTGGGTCCCAGGGCATGCCCTCACGCAAGTCGAATGTGCAAATATGATCTAACAAGTACCTCTACGTACAGTCCGACGACGCAGTCCAGGAGGAGTCCAGAACCCCGAACCTAGGAGAGCGGGGACCCCATAGATATCCGATACCGTACCCTTTACCTTATCTCTCGACCTTCCATCTTAATTTTCGCATCCCGCTTCCCCAGACTTTCCCGTCGGTCTGTCCGTGCCCTTGACGTCGTCATAAGCCTGCCCTCGTCCGAACAGTCCACACCCATACGCAACACCGAGCGACCGAACACCGAGAACGACGAGACGAAACCCATCTTCCAATTCGCGCGTACCTTGGCGTACCCAGCTTCCCGATAGGAACTTCAGCAGACCTTGAACAGGGCTGTAACAGCTTCGACCATCACTGCCCGTTAGGGCTCTCGCGAGCTTCCGACACTCGATTCTCATAACGCCCGACGCCCAATTATCGTCCCCTTGAATTGCTCTGGTTTCCAGATCATGAAACAGAACGATTTGAGAAAGCACCACCTATCCTGACTGCCTGATTTTGCCCAACCGCTCAGCTTCGATCATCTAACCTTCGAGTCGTCCAGGATCTGTTATGGAGAAACTCAAGGGCACCAAAACCACCTCTTTGGTGCCCAAAAAGTTTCGAAGTGTACGTGAGAAAAATGGGACTCATAGTAGAAACAAATCTACAGAACCAGGCCCAAAGGTCCGTTGCCGTTCTTTCTATTCTCGCCGCTTTCCGTCTTCACCATCTGACTTTGCACAGAGCCGGCCCTTGGGTGACATGACATGGCTTTCCTTTTTAAGGCCCGAGTCTGCCAAGCAGGCACTACGAGAAAAAGAAGAGGTGGAAAAGGAGGCTGCAAAGGTATGTGTGGATCTGTTGGGGCTGCTTCAAGGCAGGTTGCTGATGTGACTACTATCCATTATAGATTGCCGAAATCACCAAGCAGTTGGAAGAACTCAACTACACCGAGATCTCAGAACAAGGGGTCCGATTCTCACTTAACTCCAAATTTGCCAATGGCGATCTCAACAAAGCGATCGAGCTCATACGACTCCAACAGAAGGCTGTTGCTGGGATCATACAACCGTACAACCCCAATATTAGCATGCAAGGCGCAGAAAACCGGGGGAATGTCACCTGCTACCTTGACGCCTTGTTGTTCGCCATGTTCGCTAAGCTTTCAGCCTTTGAATGCATGTTGAAGAACGATCCGGCAGATGAAAACCAGCGAAGGCTCGCAGCACTACTTAGGTTATGGGTCAACATGCTCAGGAGTGGGATGTTGATACACACAGACATGGTACGTGGCAATGGCCTTGGATTCGACTCCCTGGACTAACGGTGTTTCTCCAGACCCAGCTCATTCAGGAATCTTTGGCGGCCTGTGGATGGGAGGAGGCCCAGGATCTCGAACAACAAGACACGTCGGAAGCATTCGCTTTCATCACCGAGACCTTGCAATTACCGCTCCTCGCTCTCCAAGTCGACCTCTTTCATCAAGGCAAAAAGGACGAAGACGACCATAAAGTCGTCCACGAGCGATTACTCAACCTCGCCGTTCCCCCAGATCCTGATGGGAAAGGTATCAAGTTGGAGGACTGCCTTGAAGAGTATTTCAACAACAAGGTTGACGTTTTCCGGGATAGTGTGGAGGAAAAGAAGGGGGATGACGAAAAGGGCCCTCTCCCGCGCGAAACTGTCCGGCTCATAAGCGAGGATGAGGATGGTCAAGCGAGCGACCAAGGCGACAACAGCCCGCATCTGCAACGAAGATGGACAACACAAGATTCGACGACACGCACTCCAGTCTCAATGCTCGATGTCACTTCTGCGAGACCCGAGCTACCAGCAGCACCCCGACACCGGTCTACTAGTATTATACAGCGTATCGTGGTGGAGGACAGGAAGCCCCCATTGGATGCAGAGAACGAAACTCTGCTCCAGAAGGCCAAAAGAACGAGTTCAACCGTGGTCAAGGCCGTGACGATACCTGCCTGGCAGTTCTTCAGGTTAATCCGTGAGTGTGACCCCCTGAATGGAAGTCCCATGGAATTGGATTGGTCAACTGATAAGCTTAATCTAGCATGGCATGCAACTGCTTCTAACGGTGAGCCAAGTAACGATGTTGAGGTTGCACGCCATTTTAACCAGCGGCCGGTGGTCGGCATCTGCTTGAAGCGGTATACCATGACAGAAACCGGCTTCCCGATTCGACAGAATACTCTTATTGACATCCCTGACTCCATGCGCCTGCCACACTTCATGATGCCAGATGATGATGAAAAGCAGTCCAACGGGTTAAGCCAAGAGTACAAGCTTGTACTGCAGTCGGTCGTCTGCCACCGTGGGGACTCTCTTCACAGCGGACACTATGTGTCATTTGCTCGCGTGGCACCGAAACTTCTCACTGACAATCGCCGATATGAACATGACCCGCCGCCGGATTACGAGGAGGCACAATGGGTCAAGTTCGACGACTTGGATTTGGACAACCGAGTGTCTTACGTCGACGACATTAGAGACTCTCTTAGACAAGAGATGCCCTACTTGCTCTTTTACCAGATCGTCCCGATGGTGGACGTCACCACAGCCTCTAGTGATGGGTCTGTTGGCGAGCCACCCTCCTACAACGAGTCGACCACCGTAATTACCGGTGTACCAGGGACGCCAAGCATGGAGCCCCTTCCGGAACGGCCGGGCGGGATGTCAAGGTCGATTAGTGATTACTTTGACTCCGCGTCAACCCTTGTACACAACGGTGGCGGTCCCAACATTCGCTTTAGTACAGAGCTTGAACGGCCCGCACGTCTCAGTCTTGACGACGATCCGTATGGAACAGGGAGCGCAGGGCATTTGAGGGCAGGGAGATCCAGACGCGGCAGCCTTGCCGTCTCGGATACCACGGCAACAACAGCCATCACTCCTAGTGATGTAGGCGCACCATCAATGCTGCCTACTACACCACAGGAGGAGAGTACCGCAACGAGACTCGGCCGGGCAGCAGCGAAGTTCAAGAGCAAATCCCGACCCGTCAGCCAGGCCGGCGAGACCCGCATTAGCCTTACCATGTCGCGATGGGGCCTGGCGCGGCCCAGTAGGGACACGCTCAACAAGGATGCCGCCAACGGTGCTGGTAACTCATCGGAAGGGGGCAGTGATGAGCAGCAACCGGATGCCAAGGAGGTTGAGGATGCGAGTGATAAGGACCAGAAGGAGAAGAATAAGGATAAGGAGAAGGAGAAGGAAGGCCATCACCACCTACACCACTATCGGAAGTCTAAGAAGGACAAGGGTAGGGATAAGGAGGACACGAAAGAGAAGGGCAAGGATAAGGAAGGCAAGAAGGAGAAGGGAGACAAGTCGGGCAAGAATAAGGAGACAGGGAAAGATGGCGTTCCTGATCGGGAATGCGCGGTCATGTGAGGAGCTCTCAGCACACAATTGGGAGTTTACATTCGGTTAATGGTTTTCTTGTTTTTCTCTGGGCGGTAGGGAATGGACGGACAGGGTGGGGCGGTGCATTCTCTTGGGCTGGTTGGGTCTGGTTGTATAAAGCTTTTCCACGTCGAGAGTTGAGGCTGCTCTTCGTTACATCATGGCATGGCGTTGGTGTATCAGCTGCTTGTTTCTTCCGTTCTATCTTTTCTACCTGTTGTGGAGATCATGTTCTCAGTTTCTCTTGATTCTTCCAATGCATATACAGGAGTGAAGAAGGAAAACGAAAAACGAGAGCATATGGTAGATCTTGCACAGTTATGCTGAGAAGCAACACTTGTTCTTTGCCCCTGTTTGTGTTTGTGTGAGATACATGATCGTAATAAGTATCGTGTTGGCCCATCTTGTCCTGTCCTCCTAGCACTGGAGAGTGCAAAGCGAAAGATAGCTTATTTCGACATAATCTACCGAGGGTCTTTGGAGTAATCACATCGTTCATAATGTCACCATTGATTACTTGTCAACAAGAAAACGGTGCCTCCAACCGAGCTTTACGTTCCGTATTAACTTTCATTTGACAATGTACGCCTCAGTTTTCAACCAACACCTTTCCAAAGCCTATTACCAACCCGAACTACCCACGAAACCCCGCAAAGATAAAAAAAGAAAAAGTCAAAATCAGACCAAAAAGACAAATAAAGACTTTATTGACTCTGCATTGTATGTTTTCCACAACGGAGAGAAAAAAGTCAAAAGAGGCAAAAAAATTGCAAAAAGAATGCGGTTGCCAGGAATCGAACCTGGGTCCTCTCGGATCGTTGTATGATCGAATCGAACCACAACGAGAAGTACTGACCACTATACTACAACCGCGCTTTGTTGAGGTTGCACGCCATAAGATTGATTTATGTAGACAAAGAAATTGTGGTTGGTGTTATTGTCATATAGGTAATCACCAAAATGATGCAGCAGAAGGGGTGGGAATTGGTTGGTGATTTGAGGTTGATGCCAAGTGTGTCGTTTATGTAATACACATCGAAGGTAAGTGATTAACCCATATATATATATGTCTTTGCCCTGGGTTTATTTGCTAAAGAAATTGAGCAGGCGTTTGGTTGTCGTGCTGTTTAGTATGTCGGCAACTGATCGCATCGCGAAGGTAGGTTGTACTTGGGGATTCTGGTCCGGTTTGGTGGCGAGACCCTTCCTCGATTCCAAGTATTTGATTCCTACCGATGTATCCGGTCCCTTAGGTTGTTCTTGACCATACAGATAAGACAAAAGTGTAGTTGTTTCCAAAATCTTGCTTTGGGTTTTACAACAGTTCATGTTGACATTGCTACGTACAACTTTGTATGTGCAATACCACAATGAAGGAAATGCATCGATTACAACAAGTATGCTTCAACCGCAACCGCTTCTCGACATGAAAAACATGTCCCGCTCTTTCATCACACCTCATATCGTATGTAAACCTTCTTCATATTCATGACACAAACATGCTGCCCGTCCCCAAAGTTCAGTCAACCCCGAGAATGCGCAGACCACAGAAACATGCACACGCCCTTCCCGGATTGACCTGTCTATAATACACAAAAAAGCTTCCCCCCTCCTTTTTCCTCTCCTCAGGAAAAACCAAAGATAAAAGCGCCAGGTGATGAGATGCAAAGCGCGAGGGGAAACTTTTTTTAAAAGGAGAAAATGTGGTGAGAGATGTCTATCGTTCCGTGTGAGTTGTATGCAAAGACCCAAGCCAAGCGGAACCATTGCGAGGGGGAGATTCGCAACATCCGACTTTTAATTTTTCCCGTGGCAACTTGCCGTGACTAGTTTGTACTAGATGATGTGATGAGGATGTGGCCAAAAACAGAAATGGCGCTGGTGGTGAGGGACGGTGAAACGGTATGACCCTCACCCTTTCTGTTCCTTGATACTTGGTGGGCATCGTGTGTGATTATATTACGTTGTCAACACAATGAGTAGAGTGCAAAGGTGGAGTGGAAACCAAATGCTGGCTCAATCGACCAGTGTTCTTCATCCCGGATATACATATTTCAGTTTAAAAGGGGATGTTGAGGGACTGGGCACCCTCCTGCTGCTCCTGGAGATCGACATCAGACGCCTCAATGGAGACGGACATGCCGAGCTTGGCTTGTTGCTTGAAGGGGGTTAGCAAAAGCGTACATATAGAATTAGAGGCCATTTGACTTACAGTGACGTGGTCAACATCAGCAGCGAAGGTCAGGGTGACAGGGGCGGCACCAAGACGCTTCTCGAGCAAGCAGCTGAGCTTGCCCTTGGAGTCGATCTGAGCCCTGAAGGTGGACATTCTGAAGTCGTACTTGGCACCAAAGGTGGTGGTGCCTTCCTTGGTAAGACCACCCATCATGCTCTGAGAGGGAGCAACGGAAAGGGTCATATCAACACCAGCCTGGACCCTATCCGTAAGCTTCTTCCAGAAGGAAGTGTTGAGAGCACCCTGAGCCTGGAGCTGAGCGCTAGCAACCCAGTCATCGGCCTTGTAGCGGGCAAAGTAGGAGATAGCGGTATCGGGGCCCTGAGTGAGACCCTGGCGTTGCCAGACGGCCTGGAGACCGAGGCCGAGTCTGGGAGTGACGGCCTGGAGGTAGTCGCCGACAAAGATACCGGTGAGACCGCCGTCGAGGCAAGAGGGGTTGATGGCCTTGAGGGAGGCAGTGAAGTCGTCGCCAAGGTGCTCGTGCTCAAACTGGGCCATATCCTGGCCGCCGCCGATCGAGAACTGCGTCTTGGTGATGGTCCTGTCGCCCCATCTGTAGTTGAATCTTGTCGAGAGAGCGCCCTCGTTGTCCAGGTTACCCTGAGCGAAGATCTGTTGATGCGGATTAGAAGCTGGTCCTTCTAGTCTCAAGTATCCTCCAAGCGCATACCTGGTTGGTTCCGTAGAGAGCGGCAAAGGCATAAGGGTTCAGCCTCTCGCCCATGGCAAACTGGTGGGAAACTTGGAAGCTTGGATTATAGGTCAGCGGTTGTTCAAGGAAGCCAGAACCATAGCTGCTCAGAACCCCAGGAACAAATGCGCAAAGCAGACAATGTTCCTACTTCGCAGTGCGGTGCCTGCATTGATCCCTAGCCCACAACTAGAATAAACCAACGTACAGAGGGGCGAGGCTGAAAGCCTTGGTGACGTCGGCGCGGAGGCCAGAGAACATGTAGTTGGTGAGGAGGGTATCGCGTTGGACCTCTGTCAAGGCGTTGTCAGCAATGATTGTCCATTACTCCAACGAAGAGCCGGCCGGTGCAGCATCTTGGAGCGCCGCAGTATAACGGTATGTTGTTTCCGCGCACTCCCCGCCGACGGCGCCGGGGCTCTTCAAAGGCTGAATTTGTATGGTGGCAGCAACGCACCGCGGGCGATGGTCTCGATCGTGCCGGGGTTGGAAAGACCGAACTGTTTCCTCCTTTCCTGGAAGGCGTTGAAGGCATCGGAAAGGCTCGAGTAAATGGCATTGTCGCGCAGCATCGCCAAAGGCGACTCAGTGGAAAACGAGGCCATGATTGTAACGGTCGCAGTGGACAAGGACGACGAGAGGTTTTTGGTGGGAATCGAGGACGCAACGGATGGTGTCGTCAACTGCAGTGGTGTTGCGTGGGGACAAAAGAGTTGCGGATGGGTGGTGGACGCGAGTTTGTCGCCAGTTGACTGTCCCGGAGCCTGGTTGGTTGGATGTCGCTTTGGATGGGGAGAGAGCTGTCCGACGATATGAAAATATCCGTTCCGACCAAGCTTGTCAAAGACCCGCGCCCGGGACAGGAACTTCAAGCTGGGCCAAAAATTTCACGGTGTTAGGGACACACTAGCCCCGGCTCGGCTGTTGGCCCCTGCGCGGCCTTGCGGCGGCTGCGGAGACTGGTTGACTGGAGAACTGGTCTGTGCTTCCTTAACAGTCGCATGTGCCCAGACTTGTCACCCACACCCCTAACCCCGGTCGGGCGGTGAGGATGGGGAACTCGGGAATCGGGATGACGACAGGTGGGCAGATTGGGGAAACGAGAAGGCACGGCAGAAACCGATAATTCTGGCCGCATTTAAACTTTCTTGAATCTGGATCGCCAGCACTGCGCTGTCGGTCACACGAACCAGTCCGTATAAGTTGCAATTCTTAAATGAGCCTGTAACAGCATATCGCTTGACTCCCTTCGTATCTCAAGTCTGTTTAGGTTTTTTGTAAAACTTCGTGTAGTGATGATGGTGAACCTGGTCATTATCTTTTGGTGGGGTAGGTGTTGCCTCATCTCTCATGTACACAGTGCAGTGCCCCCAAATGCCTCCACCTGTGGAGCATGGATGACTGAGGATCCGCCCTGGTCTCCTCTTTCACAAAAAGCCAAGAGGCGGCCGGCATCGTCCACCTTTTTTGGTGCCATTTCCACTCGAGCTTCCCTCACATTCGCAGTCCCGTCGCAGAACTCGCAGTCCAGTACGCTAGCTTCTGTTCGCACGATTACTTCAGTGATACTGATTGGTTTGCGATGCGCTGAAGTACCTCATTCTCTCACCACAATAATTTCTATCTTTGCGACATAGACTTGGATTTTTTTTCTGGTATCTGTTATAATATCATCCGGATCTCGACCATCTCAACCCCGCCTTATTACTATTTGGAGTTGTGAACCAGAACGTCAACCTTTGGTCCTCCTCTCGTCACCGCCGAACACTATATAGGTTGCTGTCTCGATCTCTATACCCTTTCTCGACACCTGCCACTACCGACCGCCGAGCATCATCATCATCACACCACCTCCACGGGACACGCTTTCCAGCAACTTTGCCATAAACGACGGATATCTGAAGAACCGAACAACTTGGTGGGCTCATCCTATCTTGTGGAAACATACGAGGCAAGCGCCGTTGGTGCCAGATTCGCTTTGCGACACACCCGCTTCGACCGCCGACATCATCCTTCACAACCGAAACCTCCAAGCAACGGAACGGCCCTTCTGCGTACCAGAAACGAAGCATAATTACAACGACTACACACTACTCGAGAAGCATAACATAACCGGAGACATGGATACACTCTTGTAAGTTGAAGATGACTTGCACCGTTGTCGATTCCCAATTCCTATCATTGGCGACTCTTTCAGCTGGAATTGGGACTTTGCGACCGAACAATTGCGCCGTAAACCTACCTCTTGGCCAGGGGGATCATTTCAAAAACTCCCGAGGTGGACTTGATCATAGACGATTGCTAATATTTGCAGAACTGCCGAGATTGCGGCCAACGCACCGCGGTACCGTCGCAAGAGTTCAACTTTCATCGACGGCATCCACGATGTCACAGACCAGGACAACATGGCCCCGGCCCAGCTTTACAGCACAATGTCTGGCAGGCTCTTCCATTCAGGCCGTATCGCTATCGTTATGGTTGGCCTTCCCGCGCGGGGCAAGACGTAGGGCTCTCCATAGACCCCCGGTTGCTTTCATAAGTATGCTAACAATGACTTAGTCATATCTGTGTTTCCATGGCACGGTATCTTCAGTGGTACGTTTAACTTGCTCGCAATTGTTACGCAAGTCGTCTAACCCTTTGTAGGCTCGGTGTCAAGACGCGGATTTTCCACCTAGGCGACTACCGTCGTGCTACCGTTGGCGAAGGCGGACATGTTCCCCAAGATTACTTTTACCCCAATGCCTCTCCAGCTTCGACCATGCTCCGACAAAAGATCCTGAAAAAGTGCAGGGAGGATATTTACGCGTGGCTCAACCACGAAAATGGCCAAGTTGCTATCTACGACGCCGTCAATCCTACTGCGGCTGGACGCCGTGCGCTTGCAAAGGAGTTTGCCAAACACGATGTTCAGGTGAGATTATACTGGGGCTGAGGTTCGGAGGAAAGAGTTTCGCTAATACTTTGCAGACATTGTTTCTGGAATCATACGTCGATGATGAGGAGATTCTCAAAGAAAATGCCAGAAATGTCAAGATCCATTCGCCGGATGTGAGTGCAATCAACAACAACGCCGCGAGGGCCAAGAGTACTGACGACTTTCAGTTTGATGGCATGGATCCCGATGAGGCAGCCGAACGGTACTTGAAGCGGATCGAAACTAAGATTCCGATTTTCGAAACGATGCAAGAGGAAGAATTAAACTACGTGAAAATGATCAATGCCGGTCGAGCATTCTTCTACAACAATGTCAGCTTCAACTACCTCTCGCATCGCATCGTCTTCTACCTCACGAACCTGCACATCAAAGCCCGCACAACCTTCTTTGTTCGAGCTGGGCCAGCAGAAGGCGAAGAGTCCTACAAATCCGACGCGCCTCTCTCTGAAGAAGGCAGATCATACGCACAGAAGATGACTGAGACCCTTCTCAGACATCGTGAGCAAGAAAGGAAGACCAACAGCGAACAGGCTGGCCGCGAGGTCTCTCTAAGGCCTCTGACTGTTTGGACATCCACGCGGCTCCGCACGATTCAGACGGCCGAACCCCTGAAAGAGCAAGGCTATAAGGTTCGCCAACGCTCGCAAATGAGCCAAATCAACCCCGGTGTGTGCGAGAAGTTGTCGGAGCACGCTATCCGTAGGCTGTATCCCGAGGAGGTGGAAAGGCATGAGCTTGACCCGTATCATCACCGATATCCTCGCGCAGAGGTTAGTTTTTACTGCTAAGATTACGGTGGATTCAGCTAACATAAAACGCAGTCGTACCACGACCTCGCTGTCCGCCTCGAGCCCATCATTCTCGAACTCGAGCGCGAGCAGAATGACGTTCTCATCATTGCTCACGAGAGCGTTCTGCGAGTTCTGTATTCATATCTGATGCACTGCAGACCCATGGAGATCCCAAAGCTTAAGTTTTGGAGGGATGAGATTATCGAGATCATTCCGGCGGCATACCAGAACGAAGCTAAGCGCATCCATATCCCCGGCCTCGATCCGCAGTTCACCCCCGGGTCGCCCGAAGACATCCGCATCCCCGTCCCCAGCATTTACAGCAGTAATCTGCCGCCTATTGATGGCATAAGCAGTCCTGTCGAGCCTTCCTCCATGGACAACGTTTTGACGCGGCCTCCCGAGAAGGTGGTGAATAACGCCAAGGAGATGGTGGCGGATAAAGTGGCCGATCTCGATTAAAGTAAGGCGTACTTGGACGTGGAGCGAAAATGGCGTTGTTTTGGGGTGGACGATTGTTGTTTCGAGCGATAGAGAGTTGTCCTTGACAAGATCTGGTTCAACCCACTGCCACCGTTGTTTTCCCAAGAGCACGCACTCGCAAGAAGCAGTATTCAGCCGTTCAGATATAGCGGTTAGATACAGAGAGCGAGCAAGATTTTGGAATTCGACCTACCAGAAGAGGAAAAGTATTAAATAGCGTCTCGAGTTAATGAAAGGAATTTATGTTCCCATCTGTCCACTACTAGGACGCTTTTGAGGTTCCTGGGAAGTCGGATGAACCCAGTCCATTTTCCCCCGCATGTACATGACGATTCTATACAAAAGACAACTTGAAGACGTTCTTACCACTTTCGAATTCTGCCCTGTGATGTCTGAAAAACTCCTCGGGCGTTCCTTCCGTACGCCCCTAAACTGAAGCCAAGCAGGTGCGGTCGAGGTCAACAACTCGCCGAAGTACTGCGTAAAGCCACTTCAGCCACATGTGGCACAGTCGAATACTGCATCTAGGCAACGATCCGTCATCGGCATCGCAACCATCCAACATCCAGCTCACTCACCTTCTTCACAACCCCCAAGAAGAAAATAACCACACAACCCACAAAATGTCTGACAACAAACCAACAAACACCGCCCTCGTCACCGGCGCCACCGGCCTCCTAGGCAGACAAGTCGTCAGGGCCCTTCAAGGCCTGAGCGTGCCTACTGAACTTAGCTCCAAGGCTGACTGGACGTGGGAAGTCGAGGGGACGGGATTCTCCAGGGCGGATGGGGTGAATGTGCTCAAGGTGGATCTGGAGAAAGGGGAGGAGGTGGAGAGGGTTTTGGGAGATGTTAGGTGAGTTTTTGAGTTTTTGGTCTCTATTGTTTTTGTGAGTCTTGCGTTTAGAGGGTTTTGGGGTTGGGTTGCGCCGGGTTGTGTTTGAGGGGTGTTGTTGGGGTTGGTGTATTGGGATTTTTGGAGTGGTGAGGGTTGATGGTGTTGGCTTTGAAGGTTGGATGTCGGGTGTTGCTGATTAGGCGGGTCGGGTGGGGCTGGGAGGAAGAGGATTGAAAGATTCTCACGATGCTTGGCAAAATTACTGGGAGATGATGCTTGGTTTCTCAAGTCTGACAAGAAAGAACCTCGTGATTTCTCGGGGCAGTCTCTTGACAGCTTGCCATTTTTATCATCCCGTCCTCACCTACTTGTCCTTTCTCTTATCACCGTGAAGTGAAACATACATCATCAAAACTAACACCTTCAATAGCCCTCAAGTCCTCGTCCACTGCGCCGCCAACCGCTTCCCTGACAAGGTCGACGCCGACCCTGAAGGCACCCGACTTCTCAACGTGGAAGCTACTCGCACTCTCGCCCGGGCTTGTGCTTCCCGTGGTATCCTCCTCATCTACATCTCTACCGACTACGTCTTCTCCGGAAAGCCAGGCGAGGCACCTTACGAGGCCGATGCTGCCACGGGCCCCACTAACCTCTACGGCGTTACCAAGCTGGATGGCGAGAAGGCTGTGATTGAGGAGTTCTCCAAGGCCGGCAAGGAGGGGTTAGGTGTGGTGATGAGAGTACCCGTGCTGTATGGCAAGACGGAGGAGGGCAGGAATGAGGAGAGTGCGGTCAATGTCCTTTTGGATGCAGTCTTGAAGGCGCAAGAGGGAAAGAAGGTCAAGATGGACCATTGGGCGCTGAGGTTCCCCACTAACACGGAGGACGTCGGTAGGGTTTGTCGGGGTAAGTCTGGGCTTCTGGTGCCTCTTCATCAACTCTTCTCACCCCTCGGTCGGTGCTAACTTTGGAATGCCAGACGTCGCGGTCAAGTACCTGTCAACCAGCGAAGCCGAGAGGACATCGCTACCGAGAATCCTCCAGTTCTCGGGTGAGGAACAGTATACCAAGTATGAGATGTGCCAGCTTTTTGCTGAGATCTTGGGACTTCCCATTGATAACATTGAGGCGAACACGGAGGGGAACGACCCGAACGCGAGCGTTCAGCGTCCGTATGACTGCCACCTCAGCACTAAGGTGCTCAAGGATCTGGGTATCGATGTCTCGGCTCAGGACTTTGTTGCCTGGTGGAGGAGAGAATTAAGAGCTTTCCGCCATTAAGCGAAGATTGGTGGGTTGAATCTACGAAGGCTGTGTGTACTCACTAGTAATGGTATAGCCGGTCCTCAGAGCCTCTTGCTCTCGATGTTGATTTTCCATGCAGCAAGTTGAACGTAGATCTTTCAACTGAAGTATTTCAGTTAGGGAGAATCGGCTGTGATGTGCCGGTATAAGGGTCGCCAAGTGTTGCTGAAGCTCACCGTCGAATAAACAGCTTGGCGCCTTTGTGAGGTGGCGGGTGAGGCAGGGTGGTTGGCATGTGAAATGTCGCTGAAGTTCGCGCTACCCGAAGCATTGGGGGGCGAAGACAGCGTCAACGGGGTGAGACATGTCGGAGAACTATCACCGCGATCTGAGCGCGTGAGGGTTGTAGGCAAGGCAGGTAAGGGATGTTTGTCGACGCGGGTTGCCTCTAAAGCCCTTCGTGTCAGATAGAGTAGAAATAATGTTTGCTATCCTCTTCTTTCGCGACTCGATAGCAATGACCCTTCTCATCTTACGACTTCTCGGACGAGACAAGCGACAGCCCGGACAGCCACGACAGCCACGACAAGACGGACGTAAAGTTGACGAGCTGTGAGCGTTAAGCGGCCGGCCATCTCTTCCAGCAAAAGGAGAAAAAAGAACAATGAACTCCGGACCGGTCTCTTCAAGTCCGGCTTCGGGGTCAGCTTCGACTTCCACTTCGAGGCCCACCATCGGGGTTCCAGAGCGGAAGTATATCCCCTACCGCCAAGGAGCCGAGGAGCAGCTGAAACTGACCGTGGGGAACAGGGCTGGTAGGGCCCTAAAAGCCCCAACAGCCCCAGTCATGTCATCATCAGTGGCCCTGGTGGAGACGCTGTTGGCGCCGGAGCCAGGGCCGGAGAGGGCATCCTCACCGCGATACTGCAGCGCTCTCCGGGAGAGATGCGTGTCACTGTCCGATGGCACCGTGACAGCGACACCGACCAGCAGCGTCACATGGCAGGATCAAGATCGCAGAAAGAAGCGGACGGGCGTCGGGTCCTTGGCCATCTCTGCGCCGTACAAGAAAGGGCACAGGAGATCACCGGCCACGGCAGCCGCCGACTGGGGGGGTGGAAAGAAAAAGTGGAAGAGAAGCAGGAACCCGCGGTGGAAGGAGAATCTCGACCATTTGCTGGAAGTTGAAGTGGAAATCGAAGTGGAAGCTAACACTGCAGACGCTGCAGGCACCTGCACCGCAGGTACGAATGTTACCACCCCCCTGCTAGTGGCTCAGGTACCCCAATCAGCACCTGCAGCGGCAGTGGTACCTGGGGCTGTACCCTCACCGACTACCGGTAGCGGTACCTCCCAGTCTTGGTTGACTTTTCCAAAAACTGGAAAAGAGGGAAACAAGCCGTCTCTCCCGTCCAAGCCGCCCTTGCACCACCTGCTGCCCTGCAATTCCAACGCTCGGCCGGGACAAGACAACAATGACGTGAATCGCAACAAGTGGGAGGGAGTCCCCGGCTCTGACGGCGACGGCCGGGGTTTGGGGTCCAAGCCAGCTTCAAGTTGTTGGTCTTCAAGTTCTACTTCACCGTCACTACTTCCCCATCTCCCCCCTCTTTCTTCCCCCGCGTTGAGACCCAGACTTCAGCTTCAAGCGTGCATAAGCTCAAGGGCTGGCGAGAACGTGGACGATCCCCAACATTCCAAGGGAAACGAGGATGGGTCAAGTCGCAGCAGAAGCATCAGCAGCAGCAACAGCCTGAGTCGACACCAACAATCGCGCAATAAAGGAGGCAACCAATACAAAGACAAACTTGAAAAGGACGCCGCCGTCTTCTTGTTGGAGAAAAAGGGCCCCTACCTCCCCGTGCCAATCTCCCCCTCGTTCTCATCATCCGAGCCGGCGCACCCCTCGCCCACCACCACGACACAACAGCAGCATCCCACGCGGAAGCAGACGCAGACGCAGAAGCAGACGCACTCGTACCTGGGCCCGGACCTGCAGCTAAATCTGCACACAAACCACCACCCAAACTTTCCAGCCCCAGTGCGCTTCCTTGTCTCGGCCACTGCCACGGACTGTGCAGAGGTCGATGTGGCCAAAGAGACACGCAATTGGCTTGAACAAGTATTCAAAGACACGGTCGGCGACACCACCGCCCGGGAACGGGAACTCACACACGGCCAGGACCATCACCACTCTTTTTTGCTACCACTGCCGCTTGTCTCTGGGTGGGACCATAACCCGTTCGATCCCGCAACCGGTCACGGCCGTCAACCCGTCAACGGAGCTGCCGAAGAACGACCCCGCTCACCCCGTACGGCGCAGATTAAGGGTCAGATTAAGGGTCAGGAGGGCCTTGCTCCCGACAAGGGATCTAACCTGAACGGCACCAAGGGCACCACCAACAACACCACTGGGGCCGACGGCTTGGCTTCACAAACCTCGCAAACCTCGGTGCCACGATTAGACACGGGAGCCGACAGTCAAACCCTTGCCGAACGGTGCAAGCTGGAGACCGACATGATCATGGACCACCAACATCTGCACCGCCACCAGTCCTCAGCCGTGCCGCCCTCGCCCGCACCCTCTCACTCTTCTTTCTCCCTCAGAGGCAAAAATCGGGTTTTTGGAAAACTACCTTTTCTCTCACGCGGTCGCAAGCCAGAAGGTCCAACCCGCATCGAGATCGCCTCTCCGACTTCCCCTTCTCAACCAAAACCTCCAACTTCTCCAACTTCACCAGTTTCCCCGGCCTCCTCCATGGGTGCCCCCATTGACAAGACCCGATCCAGGAGTCGGGATGCGAGGACGTATGCTGGCTCTGGAGGGCGCGGCATTGTACCAGTTCAAGATGAGGTGCCAAAGGGGGCCATCAATGGCGCTGACAGAGTAAGTCAGCCTCACAATGAACAAAATGAAGGTGGCCGACTAATGGGTTATTGTGCTAGCGCGTTACCGTTCGCTGTAAGGGCGTGACGGTGGATCTCAAGGTTGAGGTTGATACTACTACTGTGGACATCTTGTTGGCTTATGCCGACAAGACAGGCCTTCCCGTCAATGTCAACACCAGCATGGTCATCGAGGCGTATACCCCCCTGGGTCTCGAGCGACGCCTTCGTCGCTATGAACGTATCCGTGATGTATTAAACTCTTGGGACCAAGACATGCAGAACGTTTTGATTATCCAGACCGAAAACGACCGCAGCGACGAGAACCTAGACCTCGCCAGTGTTCCTCGCGAACACAAGATACCTACTGGCTTTGTCCTTCCACTTCAGCACTCCCACAGGCCTGGGAAATGGACCAAGCGTTATATCACATTGCTAGAAAACGGACAACTGGTTTCGTCCAAGAAGCCCGACGCAAAACTATCAGACAAGGACGTCTTGAGCATCTGCCATCTATCTGATTTCGACATCTACACGCCGACCGAAGCACAGAAGCGAAAGGAGCTACGACCACCCAAGAAACATTGCTATGCAATCAAAAGCCAGCAGAAAACCACGATTTTCATGTCGACAGATAATTTCGTCCACTACTTCAGCACCGAGGACGCCGCGGTTGCCCATCAGTTTTCTGCTCGCGTCCAAGCCTGGCGAAGCTGGTATCTGGTTAACAAGGTATTGCAGCTGCATAAGAAAAGGCAAGAGCGGGATGCAGAGAAACCGCCTCAACTCTCTTCTTCGCCGCACAAACCAAGAATGGCAGTTAAAGATGTCAATGTGGATGATGGCCACAAGATCAGAGTTTCAGTCGACGAGTCTCCTTACCCGATCGGTACATTCAAGCCCCTAATCGACCTGCAGCGTTTCGACAAGCCCATCGATGAGTTTGGCAAGGACTGGGAAGCCGACCGATCCAGACAACAAGCCCCGCCGCTACCATCACTTGATAAGCTCCAGAAAGTCAGAAGAGCTACACAAGAAGAGCAAGAAGCACCATTTGGCACGAGCGGTTTGCTTGGGAACATATATGAAGAGCGAAAACAGGCGCAGAAGGAAGAGGAGAGAAAGAAACCGGAGGTCGTCACCGACAATCCCTTTACCGATCGACCCAGCCTTTTGAATGGCGGATTGGTAACTTCGCCAACTGAGGAGACCGGACAGCACGATGGACGATCCGAACCAAAGGCATGGCTTCCTTCGGCAGTTGAACACACCGCCACGCAGCGCAGCACAAGAGCACCCTCTGTTCGTCGCAGTGCTCCGTCTAATCAGCCGCCGCCATCTCAGTACGCTCCATCGCATTATGCGCCATCACAGTACGCACCGTCCCAGTACGACCGTGGGCGTGAAACGCATCGTCGTCAGCAACCGAACCAGCAGCGAACACCCAGCGGGCCTCTTGTCGACCTAACTCCGAAATTCGTTGAACCACCCCAATGGTCGCGCGAAGGTAAAGGACGAGGTGTGAGGGCCCCAGAAGGCATGCCGTTGGTCGACATGGCCACAGGATTCCAATTGGCTCCCGGTGCCAAACCTCTCGACCTGCCACCCCGAACACTTGTTAGACGGGAACCGAGCATGCGAACCCCTGGTTCTCGGCCAGGAACTAGTGGCGGCCAAGCACCGCCAGGTTCCAGTGCAGGTAGTGTCCGAGCCGTTAGTCGGGCTCCCTCGGTGCGGAGCAGGATGACGAGTCGAGACGGGACTTCTGGGGGTATGAGGAGCGTGTCAGGATCGGCTTATCCACCACCTGTACCTCCTATACCCGGCTCAGTCCTCGGCAACGGGCCGAACTATCCGCCCCCCTCGTCCAGAGGTAGAGATACAGAAGGTTACCGTCCCCGTTCGTCGTCTGGTGGGCCACAACCCCAATCGAAGCAAGGTTCTCCTCCGTCCTCCGGGTATGAACACGATCGTCAACGGACCTTTTCTTTGAGAAACCAGCCACATCCGCTACTGTCATTCGATGAGGCCCTAGATGAACCGCGAGGTCTCCTTGGAAAGGCAGACAGAAGCAACACTGACTCCATGCAACGAGCACGGAGTGTCCGAGTGGGCAATTCTTCCGGCCGCGCGAGAAATGGGAGCATTTACAATTACTGATTGGCAAGATATGTGTTTAAAGAGCTTTCCTTGGACTGTATAACGAAAACTTATTATGACTTAACGCCGATCACGAGTTTCCGACCGTTTCTAAAACAATGTATGGGTTTCTGTTGGGTTATTTCATGCTGTTCAACGGCTCATGTAAAGGATGTTTTTGTCACAGGTGGTACGAACGGAAGTTATGGCTATCTGAACGTTTTGGTGGACTCGAGGATTTCCCGGCGGTGATGTTGTTTTATACCTATACTTTGACCATTTAATTCTGTTTATCTTGTCTTATTCTCCACTAGATTGATGATAGTAGGACGGCTGTGGTCCGGTTTGAGCGGTTAGGGAACTTATGGATATATCTACACATCTTATGCAAGGCGGATGGTTTAACATGGGGTCAGGCTAGGGGTTAGAGGAACATAGATAGAGAGAAGCGCTGGGGCTGGAGCAAGGCCATGGAATGAATTATACCCATAAAGAGGGGAATCTTGGGCTCGTAGGATGCATTCACAGAAATATTCATCACAGTTTTTTTAACACTCAGCAGCAAGACATAGATTCGCATCTAGCATGGGTATCTCGTGGAGATACAGGTTTGTTATTCGTGTAACCTCAGCTTGCGGCAAACGTTGTTGTACTGCAATTTGCCAAGTTGGATCCAGCATGCGATTTCAAGACAAGAGTGGGCATTTCCCCCTTCAGTTGTTCATGAAGAATCAGAATCCAAAACCAATTGTGCCACGAACCACGACTTTAAAAACGAATACGAGAGAAGAATCACAAAGAACACCCAGCACCTCTGTCAAGATACACCAGATTAAATATCATGCATGGATAGGATCTTGTAGCGGGTAGAAATGTTCCCAAACCGTTGGGATTCGATTTATTATTATGTTTACTTTCTTTTTTTATTTCCTTCCTTCTCGCCATGCATGCAAATATGTATAGCAGAAAAACAAGGCCTGGTATCTCTCGCGCGCAAAGCTCGCTAAAACTTTGTGAATAAATGGTAACGCTTTTTTGTGTTTGTGTTTGTTCCATCATCGCAATCCAACATTAAGTATATCATCTTCCCCCTCGTCCCTCAAGCAATCATTATTGTTCGTAGCTTTTCAATCGACGATTAGAATGATTTACTTGCTGCGCTTGTAGATCTTGCCAAGGAAGGCCTCAAAGACCTGCTTCTTGAGACCCTTGCTCTCGTCAATGGCATCGATCATCTTGCGGATCTCGCCGACGCGCTCCTCCTCGTACTGCTTGTAGTGGTCCTCGAGCTTGAGCTCGTCGTACAGCTGCTTGATGACCGCCTCCTTGGTCTTGTCCTTGCGGCCGTAGTTCTCCTCGAGCGTCTTGCGCTGCTCGGGCGTGACGATGCTGAGGGCCTTGTTGACCAGCCACGAGCACTTGTTGTCCTGGATGTCGGTGCCGATCTTGCCAATGTGCTCGGGCAGGCCAAAGTTGTCCAGGTAGTCGTCCTGCACCTGGAAGTACTCGCCCAGCGGGATCAGAATGTCCTCGGCCTGCTTGAGGTTCTCGGGCGTGGCGATGTCGAGCATGTACATGGCCAGGGCCACGGGCAGGTAGAACGAGTAGTAGGCCGTCTTGTAGATGACAATGAAGGTGTACTTGTCCATCGAGAAGTTGTCCAGGTCGACCTTGTCCTCGGGCGCCGTGAGCAGGTCGCACAGCTGGCCCATCTCCGTCTGGAAGGTCACCTCGTGGAAGAGCTCGAGGAAGTCGACGTAGCGCGGGTGCGAGCGGAAGTACTTCTTGAGCAGCGTGTAGATGGCCGACTCGAGCATGAAGGCGTCGTTGATGGCCACCATGCCCACGCCCTCCTGGCGGTACCAGCATGGCTTGCCGCGGCGCGTGATGGACGAGTCCATGATGTCGTCGGAGACCAGGAAGAAGGCCTGGAGGAGCTCCGTCATCCAGCCGAGCGTCGCGGCTTGGAAGTACTCCTCCTCGGTCAGGGGGCGGCCGAGCAGGATGGAGGCCGAGTCGGGGACGGACATGCCGCGGTTGCACTTGCCGCCGAGGGTGTTGATCTCGAGGGACTGCGACGAGGAAAGGCGATAGAGTCAGTATCACAGCTCTTCCTTGTCGGGACGCGACCAGATGCTCTCACCTGCTTGTACCAGCTGAGCATCTGCTCGGGCAGCTTGTATGCCTTGGCATCCTCGAGGAGCGCCTCCTCCAGCTTGGGGAAGACGCTCTCGAACTCCTTGAGGGTTGTTGTCTTGGCCATGGTTGCGATATGTGGTTTCTGCCCGAAGAAACTTTAGAGGTTGCTGGTGGGAGAAGAGGGGGAAGAGATATGTATTCAGGAGGTGGGAAATCGCATTTACTAGCTACGGAAGCAATAGGAATGTCTGTTTAGCAGAGCCAGCTTGGCTTGGTGGGGTCGGCGGGACAGCTGTACAATGTAACAATGCTAGATGTGGGAATCTCGCACCTCTTTGGGTAATATATCGGACAGGTGGAGAAAGTCTACTGTCTCCAAGATGACCCAAAGTTACCCAACACAGAGACCCAACAAAAGGGGTTGCGATAGTCAACACGGCCTAGCTATGAATGGAGAAATATCACGACCATATACAAAAGCAGAAATCCCAAGTTTGGTCGCTGAACTCCGAAGAGATATTCCTGCGATCCCTGTATACTTGGCCGCCCGCGCATCGTGGTGTCGATCCAGTGGTCGCGACTGCCCCTGCCGCCTGCGCCGTAGCCGCACTTTCACAATGTGCTGCCCCTGCCATTGATGCTGCCTGCCGGCGCAACCTTCAATGTGCACCGTGCGCGCGTTCCTGGTTGCGCTGAATGCCCTGTAGCAACCAGGAAAGGACCAACCAACAGCGACCTGGGACAACAATGTTGACGACGTTATTTTGATCCATCGGCCAACCTCACTCTTCAACATCTCTATTTCAACTCACAAAAGCGCGCCTTTGATGAATGGCACCGGACTGTCACACTTTTTGATTGCTTCATATTGGCCGGAAACCATATTTCAATAAGCTAGTGATTGGTTATCACTAAACGGTCCGCCTCCCTCTGCGATCCTTCGCCCCGCTCGGTGTTTACCTCATTCACTAACAATTAGCTCCAGCGACACAAACACTAACAACACTTGTCACGATGCGTCTATCAGCAATAGATACCCTACACCTTAAAGAAGCTCTGCAAAATGCAGTTGTAAAATGCTCCGAGCGTTGTCTTTACCAATCTGCAAAATGGTATTCTTCATCTCATCATTCCGTTATCCGCCATGCCACCTCCCCCTCCCTTGGCTAACGCAACATATCTAGGGCCGCCGAGCTTCTTGACTCGGTTCCCGACCCAGTCCTAAGTGATTTGGATCAAGAAGCCGCGGCTGGACTTCAGGGATACCAGCACCCGGCCTTCTCCTCCAACCCGGACCCAGTAGAAGCTGAGCTGGAGGCTAAGGAGCTCAGCAAGTATCTGCTCGCCAAGTCCTTCTTCGATTGCAAAGAGTTCGACCGTTGCGCTTCCGTCTTCTTGCCAGATTCACTTCTCTCCGGCCTCCTATCCACGAAAGCCAATGATGCTACTACACCAAAAGGCAAGGGCAAGGCAAGCGCCGCGCCGTCGTTCGAGCAGGCTCTCCCCTCTCTCAGTCAGAAAAGCTTGTTCTTGGCCCTCTATGCCAAAGTCATCTCCGGAGAGAAGAAAAAGAACGAAGAGTCGGAGATGATCATGGGTCCTCAGGACCTGGGCACCATCAAGAACAGCCATCTGGTTATTGTCAGCCGCTTCCTCGAAAGATGGTTTGCCGAGCGCAAGGCCGAGGACTCCGATCTGCCACCAAGTCAGGGCTTCCTCGAATATCTGTACGTGTCCCTGTGTTTACTGCCCTTTATGGGCATTGTGCTGATGTTGAAACAGATACGGAATGGTTTCGGTCAAGGAAAAGAACGAAGACGCCGCATTTGATTACCTTCTCAACAGTGTCCATCTGTTCCCATGGAACTGGGGCGCTTGGCTGGAGCTCACAAATCTCATCTCAGGGGTCGAACAGCTCAACAAGATAACCCCTGTCCTTCCGCAAAACATCATGTCTTTCATCTTTTACGCCAACACGGCGGTTAATCTGTATCAACAAGGACAAGATCTCGCTGCCTCTGTCAACGATCTCCTGAAGCTTTTCCCCACATCCTCCTTCATACTAACCTGTAGGGCTCTCTTAAACTACCACTCCAAGGACCTCTACACTGCGGAACAAAACTTTAGCAACTTGCTTGCATTACATCCCCATCGTCTCGATTCGTTGGATCACTACTCCAACATTCTCTACGTTCTCAACATGCGCCCAAAACTAGCATTCTTGGCCCACCTCTGTTCCAGCATTGACAAATTCCGACCCGAATCGTGCGTCGTCATAGGCAACTACTATTCCCTCTTATCTCTCCACGAAAAGGCTGTACAGTACTTCCGCCGAGCGCTTACGCTGGACCGCTCCTGTCTCTCTGCCTGGACGCTTATGGGTCACGAATATGTCGAACTGAAGAACACACACGCAGCCATCGAGTCATACCGGCGCGCTGTTGATGTCAACCGTCGCGACTACCGCGCTTGGTACGGTCTTGGCCAGACATACGAGGTGCTGGAGATGAATGCCTACGCTTTATACTATTACAAGAAGGCTGCTGGTCTCAGGCCTTGGGATGGGAAGATGTGGCAGGCCGTCGGGTCGTGCCTGCAGAAAATGGGGAAAGACAGGGACGGGATAAAGGCACTCAAGAGGGCATTGCTAGCGGATAGCTATTACGACTCGACGTTGAGTAGCTTTGGGAGTGCGGGACCTGCAGACAGGATGGCGCAGATGGATCCAGAGGTTTTGCTACAGATTGCTACCATGTATGACCGCCTGGGTGAGGTCGAGGAGGCTAGGGCGTATATGGAGCTTTGTGTGGCACAGGAGGATGGAGGAGCCACTGAAAACGTGGATGCTTCAGCTGTTGGCACCTCAAATCATGGCGAATCTTTCGTCGTTCATGGGGATTCGCCTGGGTCGGACGGGGATGCAGAGGGAGGGTACGAGGGGCGTGGTGGAGCTGGGCAGGGAGAAGGGACAGGAGTGACAGTAGCCACAAGCAAGGCACGTATGTGGCTTGCCAGGTACGCGATGAAGACGGAGGACTACGTTACGGCTAATCGGCTGGCCACGGAGCTGTGCCAGGATGGAGTCGAGGTGGAAGAGGCCAAAGCGCTCATTCGAGAGGTTAGGTCGAGGATGGAACTCGCTGATTTGACGGAGCGCTAGAGGCCGCCTTCTTTGGCGTTTCCCAATATTGAAGAGTACTTGCCGTCGGCAGCAATGATCAGTATTGGTAGCAACGGCGGCGGGGGACCGAGGCTGAGGAGGGTCCCAAGATCTGGACGATACCACGAGTACGTCGACACTATACCACCAATGACCGACCATGGAAGTGGTATATACGAAGACCGGAGTCAGGAAAGCGATGGTGATGAGAATGGGGGAAACGATCGCTACGATGATTGGTTTGGTGAAGGCTACCTGGCGGATGGATACGATGATGACGATCTTGACAACGACGACGATGATGATAACGGCGGTGCTCCTACGAATGCGTGAAATGCTCATCGTTATTTGGGCCTCAGATTGCGTATCGGTAGCTGGTGTTCCTCTCAAGGTATCGTTACCCACCCCGCCACCTTGGTCTTACGCAATATGTAGGATGCTCATCCAGAGCCTGGTTTATTCTGGCCCCGTTGCAGACTGCATGCCTCGAGAACCTTGGCTGTAGCTTTGGTTTGGTCGAGCATGGTCAGAGAAAGCTTTTGCTTGTCACCTTCTATTTGTTGGTTGTGTAAAGCGTGCAAGACCTGCTTCGGGTATCACAGATGTATGAGCGAGCAATGGCAGAGCATGGTCACGATGGTCAAGTTTCAGGCTTCCCGTGCATTCTCACGATCACGCGGTCACAGATTAACGGTCATCAAGGCGGAGTGACGATCCCGGTTCACGAGACCTGGTTGCATAGTATTGTGGTTAACATCTATATATGAGTTCGCAACCGACCGAGTCGTGCGTTTTTCGAGAGTTACGTTGTCCTTCCAGCCCTTTTGTCTCCGACTTGCAACCAGTCTGTTTTCCCCCGGGATGTGACGAAATTACAGCAACTAAACTTCATGACAAGAAACGATTACGCACTCGCCGATGTCCACTTGAGAAGCACGCATGAAGCCTCCGTGCGTATCACTCACCTGTAACAGCCTTAGTCGGCTCGATTTACGCCTTGCAACTCGGATCATTTGTGTTTCGGTATAACTTGATTAACGTTATCAACAAGCTCAAAGAGTTGGCTTCAGTGACCATGTTGTAAATAGGAACTCCGGTCTCTTCTGCCCAATCAAATAACACGACTTTCAACAAAACATGTGCTGATCTACTTTTAGTTAGTGGACAGCTGTCCTATCCAATCAAAGGTCACCGAGAGACACTGCTGCAGGCCGACAACAGCTGGCATGTAGGTGACGCCGACCAGGGCTGGACGACATGTCGTTCTTCTTCCACCTCTCACTTCAGACTTCCTGTGGGTATAAGCATCTCAGGGTGTTATCGGAATGAATAACTGCAGTCCGTTATTATGGGTCTACCGCTACCATTGTGCCCGGCACAAAATACCCAGGCACCAACCCCGGGTCCGGCCGGCAGGTCATACAGTTAGGGCGCGCATACTCTCGATACACTCGGACTTCCGATGTGCCGCAACTCCAGGTTATATGACAGTTACAGCATGTCAACAAACGGAAATCCGAGCCTGCACAGCTTCTCAGCCAAAGCACAGCACCGGGACTACTGGCTTGCGAAGCCCCTTCTCCGGCAATGTCCAAAACGCTCGGCTGAGCCTCTTGTCTGCTAAGACCGTCGAGTGTCGTGAAGTTTCAAAACCGACAGGCACAGAGAATGCTCCCAACGGACATCTTTGAGCAGTTATTAAAACATGATGCACCGTGGAGAGCCTGGGGACTTGGGTTTCTAACGAGAGCCGGGCAGTTTACGGCGCTTGGTGCATCCAGACCCGCCAGTTTCTGCACGCCAACTCTGAATTTCAAAGAGAATATGCGGCATGCACCGGTTGGAATAAACACTCGGAACTTCCAGTATGTCATGAAGATTGGAAAGAGCTTACCTGTCTTAATAAGGTTTATATAAAGGATTGAGATGTTCCCTAATTTTGTTTCTTCCTGGAAATCACCATCTTCGACCCAAACATTCCAAGATCACCACCATCTCGTCCTCTGATCAGACACAATCTTGACCAGAAGCCTTCCACAGATTCCCAAAATGTTCCTCCCGAAGGTTCTTCTTGCCCTCTCAGCATTCGGCCTTGTGGCTGCCAACACCATCACCTTCGTCTCCCTTGACGAAAATGCTCGAACGATTTACTCAAAGCACACAGTCAAGTGTGAGGGTGGCGACCACGGGTACTGCAACGACCTCAGCCTGAAGGACATCCCCCCAGTAAATGTCCCTGGATTCGCCCAGGTCGACGTCCAACTTCCCATTGGCTGGGAAGGCAATTTCTACTCTGTCCCGGCCGGCACCCCTGATCGAACGGGTATCCTTGCCGAGATCAGATCGCAGGGTTTTGAGAACGGGAGCTTCTTCGATGTCTCTGCCATCGACAATCCCAACGACCACATCGGAGTCAAGCAATTCTGGCCCGCTGACGACCCTAACGCCGAGGTCAGCGGCTGCATCAAGTTCCCCTGCCCCTACACTTATTATCACCCTGACGACAAGCAGACCAAACCGGCTACCTGGAGCGAGAAATTTTACTGCACCCTTGGGAACGCTGATCTGTCGAACCGACCGCACCTGGCAAAGTGGCACAAGGTGTATAACCCCGAGACGAATAAGTGGGATGCTCTCTCCGTAACCAATCCGGCCGTCAGTCTTATTGCTGTCGCCGAACTGCCCGCTGCTACTCGTGGTACTACCGTCGAGTCTCCTACCACCACTCACACTGCCGTTACCGACGAGACAGACGCCACCGACGAAACGGATGCCGCCGACGAGACCGACATCGCCAACGAGACAGCATTCTCCCATCGGACTCTTGTGACTCTTGTCACCTCGGTCAAGAAACACACGGCAACTCCCACCCTCCCATCCTCTCTCCTAGATTAGGACAGTACGGGAGGCTTGGATAAGGTCTCACTTTTCGTTAACGGTACACCCTAGACTCGGGATTGGTTACACAAAGTTGTTAGAGAACATGCTATCGCGGCGTCACGACAAGAAGTAGGCAAAACAGGAGTGCTTTTAGATGGAGAAAAGTGGATATTGTATCTAGAGACATCCTGCAGGCGTTGTACCTGATTGGAGTTGCGGAAAATCTCCATAGACCGTAGTTAGTTCAATGTTTTTTTCTTATCCTTTGTTGGATAACAAACTCAGACAACATTTCCCAACGACGACATTCGGATGTTCCATCCCACACATGAGAAAACTTTCACTATGTAACAAAATGTACCTCAATATTCGAGTTATAAGTTTTCCATCAGGAAGTGACGGCCCAAGCGGCCAAGCCGGGCGTTGTCAAGTCGTTCCTTCCCTGGCCAGACAAAAAACCTCTGCCATGGCAAAATCCACGCAACGCAGGCGAAACAAGGCTCATGTGCATCACTCTTTCCTCCTTTAGATTAGACTTCTTAGTACCAAGCTCGAGATAAGGCACCAACTTTTCTCCTTCAGTTCTTGGCTCACAGGCCGTTACGGGATCTTCCGCTTTGGGATTCGAACACTCCCCCAAATTAAGCCAATGACAAGGTTACTGAGAAGATATGCAGGCATTATGTACCAAGTAGGTACTGTGTATGAAGAAAATAAAAAAATGTAGTTTAGAAACTGCATCACAGAATATCGTTCTTGCCTTATGGTACATAAACGCAACCGCGGTCTGCAAGGAAAAAGCAAGAATGGGCGCAACGCGCGTCTAACCTGCAAGCATTACGAAGCCTCCTAATACCTGCTTCAAAAAAATATTTGCCTGATCTCTAGGTGAAGTGCAAGGCAGGCTGGCAGGGCAGTTCAAGATACAAGGGGATGCGTGGTCCGGGTGGTAGACTCGGCCGAAGAGCTGACGCCGACATTCTCTGTAGCAAACGCATGAAAATGGCAATTTGAAAAAGTCCATGGGAAGAAGGTAGTGGCGATAAGTACTGTTTGTGGATAGTCAAATGGCGGCCAAGTATGTGTGTGGTTGACGTGTTGGTGATACGTGAACAATGGGTGAATCATCACACGGTCTTCATACGACGAGAAACACTGGAAGGGGAAAAAAAAAACATCAACATCACGATCAACAATGACACAACTTGACTACTACTTATTTCTTTCATCTCAGCTAACCTAACGTGCAGAAGAAAAAAAAATGGGAGGGGGAACAAGTCTTCCATCAAAGATTCGGGTTTGCAAAAAAGACAAAAAAAAAAGAGTAAACTAACAAAAAGCTCAGCTGCCCAAGCCTGGAGTCGAACCCGAGGCCAGCTGCATACCTACGAAAACACCACGCGTTTTCTGGCTCTCACTCAGCACACCTACCACGTCGGCTACTGGGAGTTGTTGGAAGGTGCTGAACTAGGGGCTTATATGGTCCCAGGCAGTGAAGGACTGAATGTCCTGCCGCTGGAAAGCCAGCTGGGGCACTAGTGGAAATAGGGAAGGAGGGAGAAGGGATGAGAGAGCCAAAGGGGGTCGAGTATGAGTAGGAGAACAACAAGGGAAGAGTAAAACAGCGAGCCATCTAGAAAAGGTCCACGCGCTCCTTCCAACTATGCTGGCTTTCACGACACTCCTCAAGATGTCCACATCACTGAAAAAGCATGAACACATGGAGAAGTGTTAATTTCATCACCCTACTTAGCTCCAATGATGGAAGCATGGTTCACCACGTTGAAGGCTCTTTATTGTTGTTGATTGGTAAGATTTCACTCGGAATGTTGTTTGATCGCTCTCTATACCGACAGCGAGGTGTTAATGATAAGCCTACTAGCAGCAACTTTAGTCATATCACTCTCGACATTTTGAGGTAAAAACCCCGTTAAATAGTACTAATGCTTTTTTCTAGACGCCTGATCCCAACCGTTTCCTAATTTACATTACCTTCCGAGCCCCCCTGCTTCAGCAGCGGCACTAACTTCTGCTATAATTTCAGCGGAGCTTCTTCCCGTTAATGTTTGAGTCGGGGTTGGTGTTGGCGCGCGAGATCCTGCCCGCGATCCAGCTCGAGATCCGGCACGGGACCCGGCGCGAGATCCGGCACGAGAACCGGGAGCGAGCGCAGGGGATGGAGCCCGGGATGGACCGCGAGACGGAGGATGGGACGGAGTTAGGGATGTCGGCCGAGGAGGTGCTTTCCTGATCTCCTTGGCTTTAACAATGTTGATGAGGTGCTGGCCCGCATCCTCGAACCCGTCGAGCTTGTTCAGGCGAGAGTCAAAGTATTCGACGTCACGCAGCATGCTGATGAGCGCAGGTGTTAGCATCACTTCTTTAAGATCATACCACGAACAGCAATGATAGACTCACCTCTCCTTCCCGGCCTCCGTGGTAGGCTCCACTCCCTTAAACGTCGAGCCAAAGGTGTCTTTGTAGTTCTTGAACACCAACATCATGATCATCCGCACCGTTCCCTCGGGTAGCTGTCTAGTCAAGTTGCGGTGAAGCGTGGTCGTTTCCTTGGCCAATGTCTCCATGTACTCATGCGCCGCTGGGGACCCGGCATCCCAGTTAATTGCCCTCATCTTCCTAGAGGCAAGAACTGCGCGGCCAGTCATGATCTCGACCAGTTTATTGTAGATGATGTTCTGGTGCTCTTGGAAGTCCCGTCTGACTTTATCGAAATCCGCCATCACACCGGAGACAAGGTTGTTTCCGCAATGACGGCGGACGAACTCACGCACATGAGGAATAATTGCGGCGATGAAGGCTAGTGCCTGCGACGCTACAGCAAGATGGCGCGTGGTGATATTCTTGAGTCCAGCGGACATGAGTGCACCCGCACCTAGAATGAGTTGCTTGCAGCGTGAGTTAAAGAGCTGAAGGTAAGCGATGAGAGAGGACGACACATCAGCTGTCATGGAGGGAATGCCGACGATAAGGTGGATAAACTGAGCCATGCCATTCATGCACAATATCGCGGACTTGGGCAGGAGGAATGTCTCGGAGTCGACGACGGCAGCGCGTGCCTTGGACTTGGAAGCCCCGTTCGCCTGTGCTTCAGCGGCCTTGTCCCCAGAGTCACTGTTGGCCTGCGCTCCAAGGGCAGGAGCAGCAGCGCTGCCATCATTCTCGTCATCAGAGGGTGGAATCCAGACTTTGGTTGCTTCTGCCCAAATGGCTGCATCTCGTGTGCTCCCTTCCAATATGCGGTCGAGAAGCTCAGTATCTTTCTCGGTAAAATCCTGGCTTGCCCACTGGTCACTTTCCATGCCCTGGGCAAGCTTCTGCTTCTCGGCATCTCCGTGACGCTGAACAAACTCTTTGATGTGACCGTTGACTAGGTTCTTCAAGGATGTCCCGCTTCGGCCTGAAATGGCCTCGCACTCATTGGCGAAATGGAGGTTGAGAGTGAAATATCGAAGGAACCATTCAAGGGTTAGACGGGTGCTCTGTTCCGACCTAACTTTCAATAGCCTTACGACCTTATCTTGAGCGATATCAACGGCTTGCCCAAGAAGGTTTGAAAGATCAAGGGCTGTATGAATCTCTTCTTGAGCTTCCAGAGCTGCTGTAGACAAACGCCTGCCTGTAGGGCTGAAAGGTGGAGACCTAAGCCCACTAGTTGGATCCGAGTCGCCGAGAGAACTTGCGACGTCTAACAATACCTTTGCTTGTGTATCCAGTCGTCTTAGAGTTTCAGTTACTCCGATGTAGATCTTGACTAGCAGCTCCTCCGCGTCCCGGGGTTCCAAAGCACGCAGGTTACGAGCCAGGACGGAGGAACGCTCCTGTTGAGAGCGTTGCTTGCCTCCTGTCATCGTTGATGCGGACATCATAGACTCATTATCATCATCGTTCGAACTCGGCAAGGGCCTGCGGATGAGGTTTTTGATCTCACGCAAAGCTGTCTCTCTATAAGCAGTCGCAGCGGCTGTAAGGAACTTGGCTCTGTGTAAGCCAGTCAGACTAACCAGAAGTTCCGATCGCAGACTGTCTGTTGATGTCAGGTAGGAGGGAAACGCCGAGGGCTCGCGGTTGTGGCCTCCTCCTCCTCGTGCGCGTATTGAAGCACTGCTCCACCGCATCAGAACCTCCTGGGTTGAGACGTGTGCAACATGGCGCTGGATGTCACGTATTAGACGAGTTATGAACCTCTCTTCGTAGGTCTTGCCGATACGTTGCCGAAGAGTACTCATGTCGCTGTGTACACCCTGGAGGGCAGTGGTGCCCCTGAGATCCCTCAACTCCATCCCGGGACGACCATTGTGGGAAGCCCCCTCTTCTCCGGCAATCAGCTTTTCCAAAGCATCAATGTTGTCAAGCGCTGCGTCCACCTCGCCCAAGTCTACCAGCGATTCGCATACAGCTACCCCCTCAACCACTTCCCGGAGCTGCATGACTGCATCGTGCAATTGTTGAATGTTCTCCCGTCTCCGCCGTTGGTGCACGATATCCAGGCCCCTAGTTGCAATCTCCTCATCCAGATTTCCTAGCTCTCTCCTCAGTGTCTTGATTCTTTCCACCGAGTCTGCGGCTTCTGAATGCAGTTCTCTAAGAGACCCCAGTGCAGTGAAGAAGGTGGTTGAAGCGGTTGAGATTGACTGGATAAGGTGCATTTCGACGGTATCCATGTACCATGACAGCTTCTCCTGCAATATGGCATTTGTCGCAAGGGCCTTGCGAGGCGCTGAGGCCTGCCCATTGGGATGGGCTCGGTCATCGGATCCCGGTGCGGGTCGTACTACTTCGGATCGCTCGCTAACAACATCGAAAGTGCGTGGGTTTTCTAGGTGGAAGTCTTCGTCGAAGTAGACCACGGGAATGGTGGACAATGGCGGAGGACCCTGCGATGCCGCTTTTCTGTAGCTTGAGCTGCGTCGGGCGGGACCCGGGGCTTCTATCGATGATATGGACGCAATGGATGAGCTGGAAGCCCTCCTAGATGCGCCAGATCGTTTACCCGGCCGTAGATGTCCATCTTCGGCTGAGGTTGCGTCGGCCTTGCTACCTCGTCTGCTGTGAGTACCAGATGCCTCTTCTTCGTCCGCCTGAACCCGCCGTAATTGTTCGTATAACGCTCCGACTTGAGTAAGGTATTGCGTAAATTCGGAATTGTCAACGGGAGGGACATTGGTCAGCGTGACAGGTGGAATGTCTCGAGCAGTCGGGGGCTTATGCGCAGTGGAAGCGGGAGCTGAGGTATGAGGAAGCAGACCGGTTCGCACTATGGGTGGCTGGAGCAGGGTCGAGATGGCATTCTGGCCGGACTCGAGGACGGCGTCACCCCAGGTACCGGTTGAACTGTCGAGAGAACCACCGATGGAGTGTATGGAGCTCGCGGTCGAATCTCGTCGCGGATGGAACGGGCGGCTCGGACTGCGTGAGCCTCTCCTTCAGAAGCTGTTAGTGTATGTTATGGAGAGGGCATGGACAGACAAAGCGCATCGCACCCGTGGAAAGGAAAGTCGCCAAAACGCCCGGCATCGGGTATTGGCGAAAGACTATCGACCGACTTGCGAGCACCCTGGTTGGAGAACATGATGGCTCATCAAGTCTCCCGGAAGTCCTAGGCCTAAGCTCAGGGGAAGACGAAATGGCGGTTGGTCATGCGTCGGTGGATTGGCGACTTGGGAAGATGGGGAGTTCGGCAATCGGTAATATGATCGTGGGAGGCTCAAGCTGTACTAGGCGCGGGCCAGCAGGCCAAGGTAGCGTGAAGGTATCGTGGTCGAAGGTAGACAGAGAGTATCACCGGGGTATCATAGCGAAACGAAAACAAGACAAGAATCAGATTGTATTTTCCACGGAAGATGGCCGAGAAGAAGCGCAAAGCAGTAATATTGACGAGAGTAGGTATTGAGGGTTGAGACTCGGAGCTGTTGAAAGTCAAGGCCCCCCCCATTCGGAGCGGAAGCCACGCAGCATTGGATCCCACAGGACCCTGGTTCGGATACGTAGCGCAGTTGAATGAAGCTCCGCCCGCCGTCGGTGATTACTTGAGCGGGCCATACTGCGTAAGCTGGGTCTTGCACCGTTTGCTGCAAAAGTGTTTGAAGGGTGAATCCCTCTAGCAAAATATCCTTCTATGCGTGTTTCATGTCAGGGGCTCAGGGCACTCCGCACTTCAGGGGGCCTGCCTGTTGGGCCGTGCGGCGGGTTCCTGCCATTCAGTTACAGGTGGGGCATCCATTAAAATCCCTGCCAAAAATCGCGTCTTGGGCGCGCAGTATTCAATGTTTCTCGCGTCGCGGGTTTCCCATACACATACGTTTTGGGATTTTGGATTCTCTCTCTGTTTTCTGCCCCAAACAAACCCCTCCCTCCCCTGCTATCATACAATACTCCCGGTGCGGACCTCTACGACCAGCGCATCAGTTATGGATCATCAGTCCGTCTTCTCAGCCCGGACCTACGCCGGCGCGGCTTCTTCATATGTACCAGAGGAGGACAGCAACCAGCACATTCGCGCCCAGCTCGAGGCTTTCATCCTCGACTTCAGACTCGATAACAGCTTCATCTACAGGTTGGCACTCCACCCAGCATATCCTTACCCTTTCTCGAGCTTCCCTTTTCTAACAAGACTCTGTCCAGAGATCAACTACGAGAAAATGCCCTCCTAAAGAAATACTACTGCGATGTCAACATTGGCGACTTGATCAAGTTCAACGAGGAGATTGCCCACAGACTAGTCACCGAACCCGCCGAGATTATCCCTTTGTTCGAGGCCGCTCTGAAGCGCTGCACACACCGAATTGTCTTCCCGAACGAACCCAAGATAGACCTGCCCGACCACCAACTGCTTCTACACTCCAACGCCGAAGATGTTTCCATCCGTAACCTCGACTCCCTTACAATCTCCAGGCTGGTCCGGGTACCTGGTATCGTCATTGGTGCCTCAGTAATGTCTTCCAAGGCGACAGAACTCCACGTCCAGTGCCGCAACTGCGGCCACGTCCAACACGTTCACGTACTCGGCGGCTTCAGTGGCGCTACCCTTCCCAGGACATGTGGCAGAATCAGAGCACCCGGCGACCCTGGCGAGAAGTGCCCAATGGATCCTTACTTCGTACAACACGAGAAGTCACGATTCGTCGATCAGCAAATTATCAAGCTTCAGGAGGCTCCAGACCAAGTTCCCGTCGGTGAACTGCCCCGCCACGTCCTGATCTCCGCCGACCGCTACCTCACAAACCGCGTGGTTCCTGGCTCAAGGTGTACCGTCATGGGTATCTTTTCTATATACCAAAGTGGAGGCAATAAGAAGTCCACAAGCGGCGCCGTCGCCATTCGCACACCCTATCTCCGCGCAGTCGGCATCCAGACAGATATTGACCAAACAGCCAAGGGTCTGGCTGTCTTCTCCGAGGAGGAAGAGCAGGAATTCCTTGAACTTAGCCGTCGCCCAGATCTCTACAATGTTATGGCCGAGTGCATCGCGCCTTCCATTTATGGAAACAAGGATATCAAAAAGGCTATCCTCTGTTTACTCATGGGTGGCTCCAAGAAAATTCTCCCGGATGGCATGAGGCTCCGTGGTGACATCAACGTCCTCATGCTTGGTGACCCCGGTACAGCCAAGTCGCAACTGCTCAAGTTCGTCGAGAAAGTCGCTCCCATCGCCATCTACACCTCTGGCAAGGGTTCCTCCGCCGCCGGTTTGACGGCTTCCGTCCAGCGTGACGCTTCCACGCGCGAGTTCTATCTCGAAGGCGGTGCCATGGTCCTCGCTGACGGCGGTGTCGTCTGTATCGACGAGTTCGACAAGATGCGCGACGAGGACAGAGTGGCGATCCACGAAGCCATGGAACAGCAGACCATCTCCATCGCCAAAGCCGGTATCACCACGATCCTCAACGCTCGCACTTCGGTACTGGCCGCCGCTAACCCCATCTTTGGCCGCTACGACGACATGAAGACCCCCGGCGAGAACATTGACTTCCAGACTACCATCCTGTCGCGTTTCGACATGATCTTCATCATCAAGGATGAGCACGAGCGCGGCCGTGATGAGCGCATCGCCAAGCACGTTATGGGCATCCACATGGGTGGCCGTGGTGTCGAGGAGCGGATTGAGGCGGAGATCCCGGTCGAGAAGATGAGGCGGTACATTAGCTATTGCCGATCGTAAGTCGTTTTTCCTTCTCTCTGTCACATTGAATACCCAAACTAACATTCCCCTCTCCAGCCGTTGCGCTCCCCGCCTCTCCCCCGAAGCCGCCGAGAAGCTCTCCTCTCACTTCGTCGCCATCCGCAAGCAAGTGCACGCCTCCGAACTCGAAGCCAACGCGCGCTCCTCGATCCCCATCACAGTCCGCCAGCTCGAAGCCATTGTGCGCATCACGGAGTCGCTCGCCAAGCTGACGCTCTCGCCCGTCGCGACGGAGAAGCACGTCGACGAGGCCATCCGGCTGTTCTTGTGCTCGACCATGGACGCCGTCAACCAGGGCGGCAGCACGGGCAGCAACCGCGAACTGAACGAGGAGACGTCCCGCGTCGAGGCCGAGCTGAAGCGCCGGCTGCCCATCGGCTGGAGCACCAGCTTGGCTACCCTGCGCAGGGAGATGGTGGAGGGTAAGGGCTTCAGCGAGGTGGCGCTGAATAGGGCGTTGATGATGTTGCAGAGGAGGGATACCATTATGTTTAGGAACCAGGGAGCGCAGGTTTATAGGAATGGTGCGTAAAAGAGATGAGGGGAAAAGAATGTTGGGACGGAAAAATGATGCAAAATGGAAGCATTTTGCTCTGCTGTTGTTTTTTTTTGGGTGTGCAGCTTAACAGGTACAATGGGGCTTTCATGGCGATGGGCGTAACGGGGACTCATCTAGCTTTGTTTGGGTCTGGGTTGGTGGATGTTTTGTCTAACCAGGGGTCAATTTAGAAGATACACATGTGATCATTTTGTTGCAGTTCAGTCTTCCTAATGCCCTGAAATGTCGTGACGTTGTAGAGATGCCTGTTGAGGTGACTGACTAACTTCAATCCTTGAAGATGCTTCTATTTCAAAACCGAGGGATCAGGCTCCTTGACCACAACTACCAGCGCATCTAATACTTGAACATTCCTGTATACAGGCTAGCATACATCGGGATCTCTAAAACTTTCATCCTGTCTCTTAAGCATATGCCAGCGTGTTATCATCTCTCATATAGCCAGCCACGCCGAGCGCTGTCTCGCCGCCAGAGACGGAAGGTCCCCGGACAACAATCTGCAGTTTCATCTCATGGTTAGCAAGCCGTTCTGCATTTGGTCTCATCTCACATCCAATCTGGAAAAAAATGGGACGAATCCTTGAAGCTTACCTCTCCCCTACTAACACCATCAGTAGTCTTATACTCCCCCATATCCTTGAAAAACACTTCCGTGCTGCTCAACGGCGGTCCAAAGTGCGAACACTTATCCTCAAACACTCTGTAATCATAGAACAGCGTCTGCGCCACCGCGCCGGCCACCTTGGCAGCCGTCAGCGCATAGATGATGCGCGCACCAGTGTACGCCCTGAGGTCCGACAACACCTGCGACGACAAGCGAGGCGTGTCCGCGCCCACACGCTCAGCAGTCAGGATCAAGCGAAGCTTGCCGGGCTTGGTACCGATGGAAGGACGAAGGCTGTCGTAGTAGGACGAGAGGAACGAGGCGGTGGGCATGACGCCGTACTGGGTCAGGTGGCGGGTCTGCAGCCAGTGAAGGTTGCGGGCGATGAGCGAGGAGAAGTTGCTGGCGGTCTCCTGGTGGGTCTTGACGAGGGCGGTGGGCGTGGCGACGAGGATGGTGGGCGAAATGCCGCGGGTCGCGGCGGCGAGGTCGTAGGCTTGGGTTCCGACGGAGTTCAGGGCGACGGAGGCATTGGAGAAAAGTGCGGCGAGGGTCAGGACGAGGGTGTGGCTGTTGGCGAGAGAGTCGGCGGGGAGGAAGAGATCGGATGGACCCATCTTCTGGGAGGTCGGGATGGCAAAGAGCTGGGAAGCGATGGCAGAGGCGAAGTTACCGGCTGTGAACGTAACCATTTCGGATGGAATACCGGACTTGAACTGCCAGAAGAGGATGACATCGCTGGGCTCCTTTTGACCTTCAAGCGGGGGAAGCTCACGGCCAGCGGCGGCGGGGCTGTCGCCGATAATCTCGTGCCAGGTAGAAACATTGACGCTGCTGCCGGTGCCCTCGGGGACTTCGTTCCAGTCCATGTGCCTGCTGCCCTCGTCGACAATCCAAATCAGCTGGCGGAGGTTGGGGTAGTGCTTAGCAACAAGGTCGAAGGGGAAAGAACCGGGGGCAGTGATGACAGTGTCAGCACCAGACCGGCGCAACATGGAAATAACATCTTCTTCCGGTTGCTCAAAGGGGAGAATGACGGCCGTCAGGTTATAGAAGGCGCAGGCGAAGAGAGCCGCAAGTAGCTCGACGGAGTTGGGGATGTAGATGGCCACACGACTGCCGCCCTGCTCCTTGATGTGTCCTCCGATCAGGTTGATCTGGCGCGTGATATCGTCCAGCGAGTGCTCTGTAACATGTTCGGTGCCGAAAACACTGAGGATCTTGCCCTTGGCGCCCTTGTTCGGGCCGTCCTCCTGGACGCCGCCCACAGCTTGCCTCCAGATATCGCGGAGATCACCATCGCGTCCTCTTGCCCAGCGCGAGGCACCGGGATCCTTGACGTTCAGACCGGTCTGAAGAGGCATGCCATGGGGGGCAGACTGGCCGCGGTATACGGGAGACTGGCCGGGCTGTCGAACGGGGGAACCTTGAGACTGTCGGACAAGGAGCATGGGATGGGTATCGGGGTCCTTTCGTGTCGAGATCTGGTAGGTGATGAAGCCGATGAAGGCAGTGACGATGATGGTGGTGTACATGTTCCATTGCGCAAAGAAATCCGTGATGCCCTCGTCGAGGGTCAGCAACAGATTGTCGAAGGCGCCCATGGTGACCGACGGTAGCTGCGTGGGCGCAGCGTTCGAAAGCGTTCGAGGGTTTGTCGCGTGTTTCGAGTTGTAGGTCGATAGCGTTGGGTTGGGTAGAGCTCTTGAAGCTGTCAGTTGTTAGGTCAGCCCTGGACCGGCAGGGGAGCAGATGCGGGACCGTTCAGGATGACAGGTCAAGGCCACGCAGGCAAGGATGGAGCTCTTATAAGGAAGATGGATCTAGTGGGGTACGAGGCCTCTTGAACTGACTCGGGACTCCCGTGTTGGCAGCGGAGAGAATGGAGAGAATGGAGACGGGGAAATGGACCCAGACAACGGGAACAAAAGCGGATGGCGGAGTCCGGACGCAGCCTGAAATGCGGGACAGCGGGGTTCACCCACGGAGGCCTGATCGGGTCCTGCCGTTCGTCGTGTAAGTCACCCGAAATGTCAATTCAGCAGCCCAACATGCCAAATAATTGTATGTGGTGGCCACTTGCTGGCTGTCCTCTGCCCGCTGAGAGTGAGTACCGTCGTACTGAGAGACCGAAGCACCGCTTGGCACTTGCCCCGGCTCGGTTAACCCGATAGAAGAAGCTCTTCGGCCAATCACCTACCTGGATTTGGTCACAACCCGTTTAACGACGTAGCGGGACCGCGGGCAACCTCCAAACTGGGACGTCGACGAGAAGCTCTACGGAAAGCTCCATCTCTCGAAGAATCGCAAGTCGCCAATTGGGCCTCATCGCCACCGTCCGCGTATCAAGACAGCCATGGCGACCAAGCTGACTCCCTTCATCATGCGGACGGCCGTCCGGGCGGCGACCCGGCTGTCTACCAAGCCTCATTCGATTGCGCCCGTCTCCCGCGCATGCCTCTCCTTCTCGGCGCGGAGGCCTAGCGACACCCTCATGGTGGTATGTTTATATCCCAAGCCGTCAGAAGAAGCTCTCAGTGTGCTGACACCTAGTCTGCCATCACTCAGCACCGCAACACCCCCGACAACAACCCCGACATCCCCTTCAAGTTCTCGGCAGACAATGAGAAGGTCATCCAAGAGATTATCAAGCGCTACCCGCCGCAGTACAAGAAGGCGGCCGTCATGCCCCTGCTCGATCTCGGCCAGCGCCAGCACGGCTTCTGCAGCATCAGCGTCATGAACGAGGTGGCCCGTCTGCTTGAGATGCCCCCCATGCGCGTCTACGAGGTCGCCTCTTTCTACACCATGTACAACCGCACCCCGGTTGGCAAGTTCCATGTTCAGGCTTGCACTACTGTATGTTCACTTTCTTTCGCTCGTGGCTCTTTCACCTCTCTTCTCATAAAGTCCGCGGTAGCTGACTGCTCTTTTCCTCAGACCCCCTGCCAACTAGGCGGCTGTGGTTCCGACGTGATCGTCAAGGCCATCAAGGAGCATCTCGGCATCAAGCAAGGCGAGACCACTCCCGACGGCCTCTTCACTTTCCTCGAGGTCGAGTGCCTTGGCGCGTGCGCCAACGCGCCCATGGTCCAGATCAACGACGACTACTTTGAGGATTTGACCCCGGAGACCATCAAGCAGGTGTTGTCGGCGCTTAAGGAGAGCGTCACGGACGTGTCCAAGGCGCCTAAGCCGGGCCCGCAGAGCGGGAGACAGACGTGCGAGAACGCCGCCGGCCTAACAAGTCTGACGAGCGAGCCATACGGACCCGAGGTCACGAGGTCGGATCTTTAGGGGGCTTGATCTTGGGTTAAGTGAGCGGTAATGCGGCTGACGTGGAAGAGCACGATGACAGAAACTGTCACATAGACAGGACATGGACCAACAGGACAGTGATGACGGCAAATGCATTAGACCAGAGATGTACAAAGTTCAAAAAGGTTACACGGTACACTATCTGTATTTGTTTGTTGTGGTTTTCTTGGGATGAGCTAAAGTTGATCTGAACTAACCGAAATGTACAACCTGATTACAAAGACCTTGATGCCCTGGGCTACACAGCGTCCAATCCCTCCAGTTCTATTTGATCATGTCCACCTTAAGTGTTGCTCACAGAATACAACATCAATGGTAAGCCAGTTCCTTTCTTCACTTGAAAGCCATCAAATCAAGCTTTCTAACTGCCTCATATAGTAACCTTGAAGCCTCTAAACACTCTTTATCCTGGATTATTCTGAGGGGCATATCAATTCGTGTGGTATATCCTCATGGCGGAAAACAATAACCGCATCAGAGCAACCGCAAAATCCAGCCATCTCCCAGCCTGTTGTTCTCGGAATCCAAACCACCCCAGATCAGGATACCGTTCTCCTCAAGCTCGCCCATGGCTGCACTAGCAATCCAGCCTCGTGGGCCGGGGCCGCCAACCGAGGCAATGTCTTCGGCGTCATGTGGGATAGTGTCGACCTTCGTCCTGCAGCACCCAATACGTTAGTAATCATGTTTAAAAGGGACATCTAACAGGACCGAAAACTTACCATTTACCCTCCCGGCTCTTCCTTCCAACGACAGACTTCACCTTATCCCCAACACTGGCCAGACTCATGCCCTGTGCCGGAACTTGGTAGACCCAGACATCGTCCCAGAACTTTCCTGCAGCGTCATGTCCCTTGCCACTACCCTCCTTCTCGCCAAGGATGAGAACAAGATACTCTCGGCCACCGCCGACCGTGATCGCCTCGAAACCAGCAACGCTTCTCGCTCCCGGCCACTGCTCCTCTTCGGGGTCTTGACTATCAAGGACAGTGGGAACGGGCGCCGGATCTGGCTCCTTGTACCCCACGTCCGCCTTACCCTGCAACAGACTCTTCCATCCATCTTTAGCCGAAATGCTGGCGTCTCCCTTGCTGAATTGGTCGTCGAACTCCTCGAGCACGAGCTCCAGATAATCCAGCCGCCCGCCCTCCTGGGTCTCGCCATTGAACCCGCCAAAGCGGTACAGTCTGTTCCTGCTCAGCGCCAGCGCGGCACCCCCGCGAGCCGGACCGGGGGCGTCGGGCAGTTGCTGCCAGATGCGGGAGTGGATGTCGAAGGCCCAGACGTCCGAGGTCCTCTTGCCGCCGGCGAGACAACCGCCGTGGATGATAAAGGTGCCGTAACCGTCTACGTCCGCGTCGACGGCGTGTTCGGCGATCTTACCGACAATGGGACGCTGAGGAGTGCCGACGGCTTCCACGTCGCGGTCGCCCGTAGCCCAGTCACGGATGGTGTTCGTGCGCTTGATGAGGCCTTCGCCAATGTCGCCAGCAACGTTATGGCTGGTCGAAGAACTAGTAGGCCGGCTGTTGCTTTTCTTTGTGGGCGATGCCTCGTTGAAGTTGCGAGGCTTGTCGGTTGCCACGGCCGAATGGTAGCTGCGCGGTTCAGGGACGGAGGGGGAGACCGGGTCAAGGTAAGACCAGAAGTGAGTACGTGTGTCGAAGACCCAGACACGGCCGGCTTCGTCGAGGGGAGTCATGTCAGGGCCGCCACGTCCGCCGAAGAGGAAGATGCGGTGGCCGATGACGGCTGTGACGTGACCGACACGCGGAGCAGGAGTCTCGCTAGACTCGTTGGTCTCGGGGGAATTGTTCTTCTCATCCGAGGTATCTGTGTTCCTTGATGACTTCGCTTTGATGGCATAGTAATCCGCCGGAGCACTACTCGAGGGAAGGACAATAGCGTGCATGTCGTTGTCTGTAGGCTGACGGGCATTCTCGGCCTCGCCGCCAAAGACGTAAGCCGTCCCGGCGACAATGTCGACGGAATGAGAAGATCTGGGAAGGGCGGGAACTTTGATCTTCTCCCAACTGCCCCTCATGTGAGCTCCGTGATCATCGGCATGGTGTTTGGAAGTCAAAGTAGTCGATATCGACGAGAGGATGTCGTTCGTGCGACGCTTTATGTCTTCAAGCGTTTCCATGGCTGCGATTTATGACTGAAGGGTTGATTTTGCGTATGAAGTCGATTATTAGATGAGAGGTAGTAAGAGGAAAAGATTTGGTGGTTGCGAGGCCTATAAAAAAGGCGGGGATCCACAGTAAGTAGTTTAGTAGTATGTTGGGACGAACGAGAAGGCGCGAGTAATGTGGTTTGGCGTTGAGCGTGTAAGTGCAAGTTTATCAGCTTATCGGTCAGGGGCAGTGACGTCAGAGGCCGTATAAGCCGTACTTAACTGGGTCCAGAAGCTGAATGATCTTCAACGTTCTTTATTTGAAACGAGCCTCGCGATCCGTTTGTGTCGCAAAGGAAGGTCAGAAATCCACTGTTTCCAGGGCAGTGCAAAGGTGAAGTAGGGATCGCAAGTCCCGCGCAAGTGGACAAGGACGCAGGGACGAAAACCCAGACTCGCCAGACTGGACCCAAGCTCGTCCCAAGCTGACTGCTCCTGCCCGTGGTTTTCGTGCGTCACTTCCATTCCATGTAGCAAAGGCGGGGTAGAGGCAGAAGGAGCTGTGTTTGTCTCCCAATCCGGAAGTCCTGTATGATCGGCTGCTTCCTTTCTGTAATTCAGAACACGAAGAGGTCGAATTCTCAGATGGTGGTAAATTGTAAGAAAGATTGGTAAAATTGAACCTGTCTACCGAAAACTAACACCAAACGATGAATGGATATATTGAAGCCCGAATCCCCAACTAGCGCTTATCAAAAATCCCCCAAGAACGCCGTCTCCAAAACACCATGCTATTGTCATCATCCAACTGCAGTTCTCTCATACCAAGGTAAACGCCCCGCTGACACCCTCAAACTCCTGAATCTTACCCCCAAACAAGCTCTTGCTATCGCCATAGTACTTGAGCCGATACACTCCCGGCCCAAGTTCCTTATCCCACCACTCATTAGTCTCTTCCCCGGTCTCCCACGTAATCTCCACCTCGCTCGTTCCTATTATACTGTTCTTCCTCTTCCAACTGTAAATCAAGCTCCAATCCTCGTCGTCTCTCACGGTCCGCCACTCAGACTTTTGTGGGTTCGCCTGGTCGACAAACAACTTCTCCACTGCCGCGTACGTCCCCTCTAGCCTGAGGTTGTTCCTGGGATTGGCACCAACAAACACCACCCGGATCGTGTCTCCCCTGTGATATCCCTGCGTCGAGTCAACGTCGACCAGAACGTCGCCAAAGCTCTTGAAGAGCGGTGGTGCGTCGCGGATCACGGCTGGGATGAAAGATAGTGATCGGTTCGTGTTGTCAGGCGGAAACGACTTTTCATCGTGGACCGGTGGACTAGTCGACTCGGAAGAGAGGTAAGGGAGGAATGACAGCGTCACGTTGATGTAGGCGTTGAGTGTATGGGGACCGTAGAGTGTCGATGCACCTTCGTATCGCTGAATCTGGTACTCCTCTTCGGTCGTGATGTAGTGCGTGTAAGTGTTTGCGGGGCCGCCCAAGACGACAATTGGAACGCTCGAAGGTCCGCCAGTGTAGCCATAGGTCCGTTCCATGTCTTGGTCGAGAATCTTCTTGAAGCTTTTGCCTACGGCCTCTTTCCACCGACGGCCAGCCATGGTGGTGGCTTCGCCTGGGCTGACAACGATGGCAAATTGACCGACACGGAAGACTTGTACATCAACAATGTTGGGACTCCAGTCGTAAGGCCTGAAGATCTCGCCTACGTCAAGGAGAACAGGCTTGGGGTGCTGGCAAGCTTTCTGTTCCTCGCCTGGTGCCTTGATGAAATACCGAACAACCTTCCAAATAGGCATTGTCGTGTTCTCGTTACCGTTGTGCTGAGTGAAGTCGAATCCTCCTGGCCCATCAGTTGTCCCTGCAGCAAAGGAATACCCCAATGCCGCTGGGCAGGTCCGAGCTGGTCTACCATCGGGCAGAATAAATGTAAAGTTGGACATGTCATGGAATGTGTGAAAGGCCTTAACCCATGGGCCTCTGACCGGCGATGGATTGTTGATGAGGTGGTCATATAACTGTTTTGCTGGCTCGAATTGGCGTCTTCCGATCTCGAAGCAGGAGCTGGCACCATCATCGTGAACCCTGAAGGCTGGGCCTCTGCCGTGACAAGCCTGAGATTTGCCGTTGCTGCAAGTGCTGTTCTTGAAGCTGCATTGTGAACCGGACTCATCCTCGCACCAAGCACCAAGCACATTTGGGCTGACGTCGCCCATGTTAGCCTGGGAGAAGCCGGCCACAAAGTCCTCGGCTGCGGACGAGTCTCCACGAACGCTCTTTTCAAACAGCCAAGCTGCGACTCCCTTGTTGTCTCCAGTCACTACAGTGTTATTGCCAAGCATGGAGGTTCCGTGAACAGGGAACCATGTGAGTACACCGATGTTCTTCCCATCAGATGCTCGCTGGAACTTCAGCATGGTAAGGTCCTTCTCCACCGAGCCGTCTTCTTCTTCGCTCTTAAAGTATTTCATGCGTTCGGCTTCGGGATTGGCGAGGTAGGAAAACAAGCTGCGGTTGATATTCGCTCCGAAGACTTTGGTTGTGCCTGCACTGAGGTATCCCGGTTGTAGGCTCTCATGCGCCTTTCGAATGGATAAGACCGCGCCGTCCACAATGGCCTGGTATCCCTGGCGATCGAAACCTTTGCTCGTGAGCTGTGGCAGTAGATAGTTCAACCATCCTCCGGGTCCGGCGTGGGAATGCGTGCCTGTAACGGCGATGTTGTGATGACCATAAACGGCATATTCTGGACCTAGTTCTTTCAAGGCTTTGATGACACCGTATCGGACTGCTGTATCGCCGGATTGCGTATCAAGGACCAGATAAACGAACCGATCTTGAGGACGTTCGATATCCCCGACAATGAAGGCTCGCGAGTAAAGTCGTTGACGAAGACCGGTGCCCAGCTGTTTTGGATCGGCATAGCCCATGAGGTTGATCTCAACCACCGGACCGGTAATGTCACCTTTGCCAACACCTAGCAAGTATTGGGTGTCCGTAGCGCATGTTGACACATTGGTTCCTGGATTGGAAATATCTGAGCGCCAATAGTCCCATGATAAGCTATCGAACTGCGCAGCGACCAGGAGCAACGCAATAGCGACAGAGATAACTATCAAGACGTTCCCTATGAACAGGGATGCTGCTCTGGATGTAGGACACCGTGGAGGTCTTTGTGAGTCTGGATTTTCTGCGAATCGAACGGAAAGAGGGGCTTTCGTGGTGTCGATTTTCCGGTCCCTTTCGAATGTCTGTGCCTTTTCCTGATCAGCACGGGCAACTTGGGGTGCCATCGCTCGGTGGAGGATTATTGAAGAACAATGCCGCGACTTTCAAATGAAAATATCATTAGCAAGAAAGATGAACAAAACAGATGATTTTCCGCGTCCGACTTTTATTCTCTCAAGTGTTGAACGTGGGATAATCGCTTAAAACAACCGAAAGCAGGCATTCTGGATAGCTCGGGACCTGAATGATTGACGGTAAACAATGCCTGCCGGGTCACCGGCCAACAAGGTTGGCTTGGCGCCAAAGCAGCTGTGTCGTCATAGGGGCCACTGGCGGATGCATGCCCTTGCTGAAAGCGGATACCACACCGTGCTACTAACAAGAAGGCTAAATCATCAGGGAAACTCACCGCCAAAAGCACCGTTGATCAGGGTCATGCGCACAGTGTCCTGGTGTAGCTGCCGCTGCAGTGTCTTTCAGCCGGACTCCGGATGTGGGGAACGATTTTTCGTGTTATCGCGACTGCTACTTCGCGCTACTGTATCGCATCGCATCGCAAACATATCGTATCGCATCACAAACCGCCAGTCATATCGCAACGCCAGAACACCCTATCACAACCTCCAGGTGTCCTCACGACTGTCAACAATCCCAACGGAACTCGGTTAATCAGCTCTGCGCGAACTTTTCACAGCGAAACAGACAAGCCGAGAAAGGACAATAACACATCAAATTTCATCACCACCTCGCTCCCAAAAGCCAGCGACAAGTCGCATCGCAAAACCACCAAAATGCCACTAATAACCACAATCCACGAATCCCTCCCATGTACGTCCAACTCTTCAACCCCCTCCTCCTCCTCCTCCCCTCAACCCAACTAACCTCCCCTGCTCTACAGACATCGACCCCGAACCCACTCCCTCGGACCGCTCCGCCGCCGAAGCCCTCATAGCCACCGAACGCTCCCTCGTCCCAGACGACCCCTATCACGCGCTTCTCCCCCCTCCCTACTCGCCCTCTTCCCACCTCACCCCCCTCCTCCAATCCGAATTCGACCGCATCGCCTCTTCCCTAGCCACGAACCCTGATGCGCCACCCAAACTCAACGCCCTCGACCTCTCCCGCTACTCCTCCCTCCCCGAGATCCCCACCCCCTCGGACCTCACTGCAATGGACAGCTCCGAAGCCAGCACCCTTCTTTCTTCTTTACTCGAAAAAGCCTACACAGACCACGCCTACGTCGCCCAACGGCGGGCGCACCTAGCTCTGCTGGACGCGTACGGCAAGAACGCGTGGCTGATTGGCAATTGGCAGTTGGAGGGGGAGCTGAAGGCGATTGAAAAGGAGCTGGCGGAGGCGAAGAGGGAGATTGATCTGGTAACGCTGCAGCGGAAGCAGGCGCAGGACGAGGCCGGGCCGGAGATTTTGGGGCTGGAGGATACGTGGAAGAAGGGCGTGGGGAGGGTGTTGGAGACGGAGGCGGCTGTGGAGGGGCTGAGGAGGCAGGTTTTGGAGGTTAGGAGGGGGATGGAGTAGGGGGTGTGGTGGCAATTCAAGATGGAGAGGAGATTTCATTGCGTTTTTTTTATGTCTTGGTTTTAAAAGGCATGGTACGGAGGGTTTTGCTGTATAGACACATGGGGGAAAGAATGGCTTGGTGAGGCATCAATCTGCATCAGAGGAGGGCGTGTCACAAAAAGAGCGATGAAGAGGTTTCGACAAGGACAAAGGAATGAACTGATAGGTAATTTGCACAATACTCTACCCTAATAGACACCGGGGTAATGTGAGAAGCAAGACCAAAACAGCGGATGTGCAATAAAACTGAGTAATATGTGGAGATTATCGGTTGGCACGAGGCATGGGAAATCAACAGTTCACATTTCAGGGAACAAATGGGGCTTCAATGACAATGGATCATATCAGTGCATGTTGTACTAAAACCTAGGTAGACGCCTTTCCTGGCAGCAATAAAGCTAACAGCAACAACTACTAACTACTTCCGTGTCTCCAAGTCTTGAACCTCAAACCCAGGCCAAGGAACGGACCATACCCAACAGTGATGAAGAAAGCCGTTTTAATCTATAACACTTCAATTTGCACTCTTGTTTCCTCAAGACACCTGCAAAGGATCCACCTCTTCCACTTCACCATACCTGGTCCTCCGCAGGATGCTTTCGATCGGACCAAGCAATCTCTGGAAAGCATTCTTGCCAAGCCTGGCAACCTTGACCTCAGTCTGGCTAATGACGCTGGCCGCGCGAGGGGCATCGTTCAGCAGCGCAAGCTCACCGAAGAAATCGCCCTTCTTGTAGTACTTAACTGGAGAATCGTTTCCTCGCTTGAACGCTGCCGCCTCGCCAGCCTCCAACAGGAAGAAGGAGTTGCCGGGGTCACCCTCAAGGATGATCTCATGGCCAGCAGGGTACTTTTGGCTCTCGAGAGCATCCGCAATCTTGGACCGCTCATATGGCGTAAGGGTCTTGAGGATGGGCACTTCTTCGAGAAAGCTCTCGTACATCCGACGACGAGAGAAGGTCGACTCCATGAGAATTCGCCGGAAGGTGACACGATCAAGCGCCCATAGTGTGCACTGGGCCTCAGCAGAGACGACAGTGGCAGCACGGGGTGCGTTGTACATGAGGGCAAGCTCACCAAAAGAGCCACCCTCCGCAATCTCGCCAACCTTCTGTCCCATACCGTCCGGGCCGGGTTGGAGAGCGCCGGTGCTGTTGACATAAACCTCGAAACTTCCCTTCTCTACCACATAGAAATAATCACCGGCATCGCCTTGAGTGATCACCTACATAAAATGTCAGAAAAATCATGATTTTCGAAATAGAGATTTGCAGTGGCTTCAAGTACTAACCTTAATCCCTTTAGCAGGCACCGGCTTCTCTACCAAAGCACCCAATACCTGGGCACTCTGGTCGTCCTCAAGGTGACTGAAAAGAAAGTTGCCGCCGATGGCTTTCTTCAAACGCTCAAGCTGCTCTGGTGTCTTCTGGTGAACAGGAGGTGACCAGTTATCGGAGTTATCCGTAACTGGTTTCAGGGATTCTGCCGAAACGGAGGTCCGGCGACCCAAGTTGTAGTGAGCAGGGAAGTCGTCGGGTTGGCGCCAGACGGGCAGGTCCGACGGAGCATCGCCGCCGAAGCCGCTCCACAACGAGGGCGCAGTGTCGTTCTTGACGCCGAAGTGGCGGTTTGTAGGCGAAGTGATAGTATCGTTCTCGTCTTCCTCAACCAGCCTATGCATTGGGCCAGATTCAGATCTGCCTGAACCGCCAAACGGGTTTGCGTTCCCAAAAGGGCTGGTGAAACCTGTGCTCGACATTGTGGTGACGTTGATCCCAACAGATGAATTTCGTAAGGTATGCCGAGCTGAATCGAGAGCTGTTGCCTTATATCAGACAAATGTTCGAATCAAATATGCGAATGCTTGTAGCTAGGACCGAACACTACCTACTGAGACTGGGGAAAGGGATCCAAAGCTGTTCTGTATCCGAACTTTATTTTATAATTCGCGAGCAAAAGTCGGATGGAGATTGGAGGGTCGAAAGAGACTGGAGTGTCTGTAATTAAACACGGGGCGTTGGAAGGTAGATCTTTGGCGCCTGGGAGCACTTTACCAAATTAGCACCTGATTACCGAAAGAACAAGTACAGATCACCCGCATAGATCTTGACATCGGATCAAAGTGGAATTGCCGAACGGGAGATTGCGAAATTGACAGAATGACATGGCGCAGACAAGAGATCGGTCTTGGGATGACAGTAGTCCACACTCCATGTGATCTGTTTGACCACGAACCTATGCGACGAAGCGCACAGGTACAAGATGTTCGATGGCACAAAGCCAATGCTGATCAGAGCAAACAAGGTGAGACATGGCTGAAGAGATTAGGGAACTTACCTAGGGATCACCGTAAGCTGGTGTAGGATAGGTGGTATCGAGAGGTCAAGGTCGCAAGCAATCTCGTGGACAACAGAGTGTTGCGGTGGTCGCGAAGGCCGGAGATGGATGGATAGGTTTCAGGATGAAAGACGAGCGGGATTGCCGAATGGGCGATGGCAAGGGAGCAAAGGCTCGGATGCTTTGACCAGCTCGTAGCCTGAAGCAGAACAGAACGGAAGGCTGTAGTGTGGACAAGGAAGAAAGGCCGAGAGACAAGACGGTTCGGCAAAGACCGCACAAGTTGTTGCGACCGAATTCTGGTGTCGCGAGGGCAATTGCGGTTGCGGTTGCGATCTCGCTTGCAGTGGAGTTGCCTTGTAGCGACGCAAGAAAGAAGCGAGGCGGCTGTGGCGAGGCGTGTTGACCGAACGAAGCAGGCGGCGGGGAGCTGTGTGGGTGGAGGTGGAGGTGGAAATGATGGAACTGGGAATGGAAATAGCAACAAGGCTCAACCACAGAAGACTGGAGAGCTGAGCACGACCACGGCAAATGAGACAATGGAGTCTTCCGTTCTAACTGTCTTTGTTATAAGGGCGAGAGAAGAAGCGCGGGAAGCACAGAGAGCAGGAGAGCTGGCATGAGGGGAGTGATGTGGAGGAGGTGAACTGAAGCTTTAGGTTTTGGCGGGCGGGTGGGGTGGGTGATGCCGTTCCCGCCCTACAGTGCGCTCGTTATCTGGGTTCTGGGTCGTGAAGGCGCTGGCGGTCGACCGTTGCCGTGCTGGCGTGCAGGGTTCCATCTCATGCGATTTCCCTTCCCGGCCATCGCCTCAGCTTGGCCATTAAGGTAGGGCCGTGTCACAGAAGGCTTCTAAGAGCCTTCCAGAACCAATTGACTTCTGATTCAGCAGGCGGCACAGATTTGACCGACAGAAGCCATACCTTAGCTCCTCATCTTAGGTTCCACGCAATGTTAGTTTTGTCTGCCGTCATTCAATTAAAGGCAATCCCCTCCTCCGTTCCCTGGTGGGAGCAAGGCCCACCCCTCTTGAGCTCCTTGCTGCTTCTCCACAAGTTCCGCTAATCTGTCGAATCCTTCTAGAAAACAAGCACGAGCCCTCATGCGGCTCTCCCCCTCTTCTTCCCTTGCTTCTTTTTGCGTCCCTGTGTGGCCTGTCCAATTGTGTGTGCCAGCTCTCTTCTCGGGTGCCAGCTTGCCCGCATTGCCGGCCATTCAGATGTTCTGTCGCCGGGGTTGCACATGTGGTTGGCTGTAACCTCATCGACCCCGTCTGCCCCCGTCGGGTGTCTGACGTGTGAGTCTGATGCTGTCCTTCTTCTTCGGCTTCTCTTGCAGATCTCGGCACCCATTTCGAAGCGTTTTGCAAGCCAAAAACAGCCTCTTTTTGCGGGTGGCAACCGTCCCCGAAGACTTGGCATTGCTTGTTAGTTTTACCCCCAATAATGATCTCGATGCCGTTCGACAGCCGTTCAACTTTTGTCTCAACGGTTCGTTCTACGAAACCTAAAAAGAAGATCCAAAGCTCTACACACACAACGGCAAAGAAGTGTCACGAGTGAACCCGGGTGAGATGATTGCGGAGTGTTTGCGTCCTCTTTGGTGTACATACACCGTAGTGTCCGGTTGACCGGTCCCCATCAGATCAAGTGGAGCGGATGAGACATGGAATATGTTGCAATCAAGATACTGATATGCAAAAGGCCGAGATACTACCCGGCGGCCCGAGCAGTACGCACAAGACACACAGTTGAAATCATGGATTTTGAATTGAGTGGTGAGCCTGGAGTAGCAGGACATAAACGGTGTGCAAAAAAGTGAAACAAAGAGGTTGGTGGCACGTATAGAGGCTTGCGGCTCACTCTGTGACTTTGGAGGTTGAATTGCCCACGGAGTGTTGTCTCCCGAAGCAGCGTCTCTTTGAATGACGATTGACGTGCATTCGCGGGGCTGCGGAGAATGGCCCGTGCGTCTACCGCCTTAGCGTTCCGCCAGGACAAGCTCTCACTCGCTCACGTGAGACATCTCGTGAGACTGTTCAGATGAAATCCGAGTGTGAAGTCAGATTTCTGAACGTGCCCCACTCAGAATTGGAAACATCACAGCCTCCCTGCCAAGAGGAAGGCACGGACCATCTCGCATTGCTGCAGCGCCCCAGAAGGCCGAAGGGTCCGCGTCTGCGTTCCACTGCCCACTCAGGTCTCGAGCCATTGCAGCGATGGAGTGCATCCCGTCCTTGTAGCGCCCGGGCCCGACTGTCAACTGTCGACCGCACCATTGACAATTCCATTGCCCGCCTTCAGACTGTCCCTGTGCAGTTGTGTGTGTTCCTGGCGCCGCCGTCCCATCATCAACTTTGAAACGGCTTGCATCAACGCAATCTCCCATCTCCTGGTCTTCGATTCGTTCCAACCTCTTAGCGACGACAATAGTTACTGGAATAACCCGATATCATGGCACCTCGCCGTCGCCGTGGCGGCCGCGATGGCTCCCAGGACGGCAATTCATCAGAGACAGATGCTCCCAAGAACCGTCCGCCCAACACTGCTTTCCGCCAGCAGCGAATGCGCGCCTGGCAATGTGTGCTCACACCGAAACTTATCGTCTCCATTTTCACCGTCCTCGCCGCCATCTATCTCGGCTTTGGCGCTTACTTGACATATCTCGCCTTCACTGTACTTTTCCCCCGGTTCCCTTGTGCCCCCTGTCACCTCTTGCAAAAGTGTCCGACCAGCCGCTGACCATGTCGCACATCTTGTCAGGTTCGAGATATCAGTATTGACTACACAGACTGTCTAAGAGATGCGCCCAAAGGAAATGGCACAAAAGCATCGATTCCACCTGATAATGTCAAGTCGCATTTCTCGTCATCCGCCCTGGCCGCGCACCCGAACCTAGACCCCAAGAAAATGTCGACATGGCATGTCGAGGAACGAAACGTAACCTTCGAATGGAGCGGCGTCACGGCCCCGAGAAACATCTGCGTTATCTCGTTCCCTATTCCCGAGGAACTCCCGGCCCCCGTCAGCTTCTACTACCACCTCGACAACTTCTACCAGAACCATCGTCGCTACGTTAACTCGTTCAACGCCAAGCAACTTCTGGGCGATGCCGTATCCAAGGATGTTATCGACGGCTCGACCTGCAAGCCACTGGACCTCGACACTCTAGGAAGCGGAAAGGTCATCTACCCGTGCGGCGTGGTGGCCAACTCCATGTTCAACGACACCTTCTCCAACCCCTACAACGAGCAAAACTCTACCGACTACGTCATGTCCAACAAGGCCGGCGACATCAGCTGGGAGGGATTGAAGGATCTATACGGCCCGACCACGTACTCGCGGAACGACATCGTCCCCCCACCCAACTGGGAGGCCGCCTGGCCTAACGGCTACACGAACGACACCAAGCTGCCTGACCTCAAGAACTGGGCCGACTTCCAGAACTGGATGATGCTCGCCGCCTCTCCCGACTTCCACAAGCTGGTGCGCAAGAACGATCACGAAGCCATGAAGGCCGGCAACTACCGGATCGAGATCGTCGACAACTTCAACACCACCGTCTACAACGGACACAAGTCTATCGTGCTTACCACCATCACCGCCATGGGCGCCCGCAACATCTGGCCAGGGATAATATTCCTCATTGTTGGCGGCATCTGCCTCATTCTTGACGTCTACTTTGTCTTGTCCTTCTTCATCTGGAAGCCCCGTAAGCTGGGCGACCCGTCGTACCTGTCGTGGAATCAGCCTTCGGCCGCTCAGGCGGGGTCGACATGAACGAACGAACAACCACACACATACTTCACAAGCAAGTAAGACAAAACACAACGAACGAAGATATAATATAGACCCTAATTACGCTGTGAGATGGATGGCTGGTATGAATGGATGGATTGACTGGATGAAAATTCTCACCCGGGCGGGATGAGGTTGAGACGGGGGCTGGCTGGCTGGTCGAAACATGAAATGAGATAGAAGGGGTGGAAAGAGTGAAGAGAAGGGGATAAGAGAAGGAGAAAGAGAGAGAGAGAGGAGAGGTAGCACGAGCGTTGCGTGTGGGCGGTTCTCCTGATCCAACATGGAACCGCCCCTTGTTGAGCTTTGCCTGTTGTTGTTTTCAAAAAAAAAAACTTCGCTGGGTTTTGTTGTTCAGCACGCGCTCACACAGTCTTTTTGGGATATCAATAACTGAACGGCGTCTTGGGTTTGGTATAGTTTTCGTTTTACTTCTTAGTACAGATACATATCATGAGACCTGAGTCTCATTATCTATTAACACGTTTCTGAAAAAAAAAAACTGCCTGTTTCTGTTTTCAGCGCCCTTTCTTGACTTCATATCAAGTACTACTGTGCGTGCCAGCCTGTGTGAAAGAAGTAGTTTACTACTACCTACTTTGTTCATACGACTACAGTACCAAAC